TCTCATCTCTTGGAAGGGCAAAGGCTCTTCATTCCACATCAGCTCCAAGCCCCTTTGCCACTGATGTGTATTGAAAAGTCCGAATTGCCCTGAAGAGAAGGGACACATTTTGAAGACCTGAGTGTTACAAGTGACGTTGGGCATCTCAGTCTAGGTGCCAAGTGTGCCAGGCACCTCCAAGCCCCTGGCAGGGAATGGAAAACAGGGGCCGTCACGGCCAGTGGCTCAGCTGGACAGATGCCAGCTTCCCTTGGTCACCCCATCCCCCTGTTCCACCCCATGGTGGGGCACAGCACCAGCCACGCCTCTGGGAGGCATGAGCAGGAGGTGCTAGGGCAGGGGCGCTGTCTGTGCCCCAGCAGGTGGGAGCCAGGGCGGCGGGCAGGCCAGGCTCTACCTGGGCCCCTCCCCCTACCGTGGGGTCTGGCCCTCGGGACCAGCTGGCTGACTGGAGACAGCTGTTCGAATGGCGAGTCCCTCACCCCTAGGTGCCCATGGGCAGTCCCGCCAGCCATCACCTGGATCTCAGGTGCTGCTTCCCAAGCTCATTCATAACCAGCCCCCAGAAGCACATGTCCTCGTGACAAGAGACCCCCTGACTGGCGTACCACAGTGGGGGACCCCTGGGTGCTGCCAGCTCAGGAGCGTGGCCACCCTTGCTACCACACTGGGCCCCGTCCCCTCGATCTAGGAAGGCAGGCAGACACAGGGACAAGGACCTCCTCTGCCACTATTAATTGCTTGTTAAGCTTGTCGCCTCCAGAGCTGGGCCCCACCTGGCACCCTCCGCAGTCCCCCAGGGCGTATTGGCTGGGCCCCTCCCCCCCTCCTAGCCTTCTTACCCATTACCCTTCCCTTTGCTCAGGGGGCTGGACTGGGCACCAGTGAGTCCTCAGCGCTGGCCCCAGGTGACAAGCCCTGTCTGAGACACAGGTCCAGGGTGTTTGGCCGGAGCACAGTAGACAAAGTTCACCTTGGGTCCAGGCTGTTACTGGCCGTGTGATCTGGAGCCAGTTACCTCACCTCTGAGCCTCAGTTTCCCCCCTGTTAAGCAGGGTGGCTACCTGATAGGTACGTGATTGCATTAGACGCAGATCTTACTGAAATCGGTAAGATGGGAATGTCTGGGAGGGGGGTGGGATGGATGGAGTGAGAAATAGGGGCCATGCCTGACATTAAAACGCCAAGGATCCGTTCCTCTCACAGATGTGGCTGAGCTCCAACTGTGTCCTAAACACTGTGCGAGACCCAGGGTGTCATGAAAATCAGGAAACTGCTCCTGCCCTGGGCTGCAGGCACCTGTACCAGCGGAGACAGGTGTGGTTGGTGTCCTGTGGGGGGCAGACTGGAGAGAAGCAAGAGGCAGGCAGGGAGCCCTCGGGAGGGGACCTGGGGCAGGCAGGAGAAAGACAGCAGTGACTCGGACTTGGGCACGTGCAAGAGGAGGCGGGGAGAAGTAGACTGGCTGAAGGGGAGTTCAGAGAAGAACCAGCCAGGCGCCTGACACTGGGGGAAGTGGTGCAGCCTAGGATGACTCCTGGTCTGGGTCTGGACCCTTGTTGGCAACATGAGCTGGGGGAGAGCTGAGAGGGACAGCTGGGGTTGAGGGGACAGCCAGCACAGACCTCGAACCAGCCCCCCACCTCTCCTTGGTGAGGGGATGAAGCAGGAAGGACAGCCCCGGCCCCTGGCTGACCACGGGCGAGTTCCCAGGCCGCAAGCTGTGCAGTGCGTCCCGCTGCAGCGGGACCCCAAATTCCAGGTCCCGCGGAGGAACACACCCAGTGGTAGGAGGTGGCCTTGCTGACGGAGGCCTGTACGTCACACTCTCCCTGTGGCTGCCCCGTGAGGCTGTTGGGGGGCTCAGGTCGAAGTGCGTCTCTCCCCCAGCAGGCAGCCAACTGCCCTGCCCACCCCTCAGGCCCTGCTCAGAGACCTGGCCTGAAGGAGGAAGTGGAAGGCCTGGCCAAGTTCACCAGCTGTGTTCCTGGCAAGCCAGGAGAGGGCTGGGATTTCCCGAGGTCACCCTGCCACCTGGGGGCGGCATCGGCAATGTTGGCACCTGACTCATAGGCCTGGGCCCTGTTTTTAGCCTCAGGTGGAGGCTAACCACCCCCCCACACTGCTCTCTGACCCCTGCCTCCCTGACTCACTGTCTGCCTGGGGCATTCAAGGCCCTGCCCCAGGGCCAGCTGTCCATGCCGAAGCCCCAGGGAGCTCAGATGCTGAACACACTGGTCTCCACCCTGGGAACCTGGGAGGCTGGGCCCTTTGGGTCCAGCCGAGGGTCCAGGGACCTGGATCTGGGATGTGGGCTGGGCCTGCGGTAGCCTCCTTCCCAGGGTGGGCGTTCGGAGGGGGCACAGCTGCCAGAACCTGCCCCTCAACCTTCTGCAGCCGACAGGCGCTGGCACGGAAACAGCTCGATTCTGGAAAAGTCTCCCCAGCAGCTTCGGTCCCACGTGCATTTTGTGCAGAATCTTTTGTCGGCCGCAGACCTTCCAGGAGCTGACCTGGTTTCCTTTGTGTGTCTCCCGCCCCAAAGGACACCTGCGAATTTCCAGCACCTCCTGCTCACTCCCTGGGCCACGTGCCATGGGCTGGGGCGCCTCGCCCGCCTCTGGCTCAGTCAGAAGGCAGGGGGTTGAAAGGGCTCGAGTAGTGTAATCGTCCAGTTGTAACTGCTGTGCCCGTGAATTAAAGATCCCAACTCTGGGGGCCATGGTTAGGGAGGTTAGGGAGACGGTGGGCCCGGCACACCCCGCTCCCAGCCACGCCAGGGCTCCACATCACCAGGCCAGGAGGCAGAGGCCGCAGTAGGGAGTTCTGGGCAAGGCTCTGTCACCTGGAGAGGTGTGTGCAGACTCAGCGGACAGGTTTGCCCAGGGCCTGGGCTCAGGCGGCCACCTTGTTGTCCTGGTTTGGGTTCCTCTGTAAGCTGACCCAGAGACCGGAGTTTATTTTACAAGTCATTTCAGGAAGAGCTGAGGGACTGGGGAAGTGACTCAGGGAATCCGGGTCCGGTGATGGGTGGGCCACAGCTTCAGGCAGCTGGGGCTTCGACATCTCAGAAGTGTCTCCCTGTGGGCACAAGGGAGCCGGGGTTTTCTCCCACCCACTCCCATCTGTCCTCGGCACAAACCGGGCAGCCCACCACACACCCAGGAGCAGAGGCGGAAGGCAGCCTCCAGGGCAGGCTGGGTGAGGATGGGGCTCACCTGCAGCCCCTGGCTCCTGCTTTCCCACTTCAAGCTGGACAGCGAATCGGCACTCACCTCTGATAGAGTGTGGGTCTTCCTGGTCATGTGTGTCACCCCTGGTGCAGACCCCTCTGTCAAGAGTCCTTTGCCGTCAGCGGTGCTGTAGTAGGCGATGGCCCCCAGCACCCAGGGGTGACTCCGGAGGTCGGCCATGAAGTCGGACTCCAGGTCTGAGCCTTAGCTCTGCACCTTCCCATCTGTGAGCGCAGGTGAGCGCCTTCCTCTCTCTGGCCCTCAGTTTCCTGACACTTAGAGTGACCACTGTACTAGTTAGTATTGTCACAACCGTGCTGTCTCACACACCTCCCCCGCCTCAGTCACTTCTTTTCATGGGAAAGGAAGGGGTTCAGCTGGGGATCTGAGACCCAGGGCGGGCTCAGCTCTGCGGTGTGCACCTCTCGTCCCCTGCCTGGATGAATGGGAGGGACTGGTACGTTCATGGCGACATTAGTGGCCCAAAACAAGCAAGGCCTCTTAAGGGCTGGGTGCAAAAGTGCCACATTTTTCCGTGGGCTGGAGCGAGGCCCTGGCCACACTTACAGTCAAGGAGAGAGGCAGTGTGTCCTTCCCGGAGGGGGAGGAACTGCAAAGAGCAAGGACACAGGTCCGGTGAAGCCTCGGGCCCGAAATGTAGGCTCTCTCGACACCACGAGGTGGCTGTGAATGGCTAAGCAAGTAGCATGTGCCCAGGAACACCCTGTGAACTGTCCAGTGGAGGGTGCTAGTCTCGCTGCTTGGAGAGCCTTCCGAGTCTTCAGGGCCAGGCCCCTCCCTCCTGGTTCGGTGCTGTGTGTGTGCGTTGGTCATCTTTGAAGATGGGACACCCTGTTGGGTGCCCAAGATGAGAGGCACGGAGACCGTACCTGTAAGTCACCAAGTCCTTTCAGGAGATTCCAGTGGAGTCTCCGCCTCCGCACGTTTGCCTTTAAGCAAATGGCAACTGCCCCCCACCTGGACACTGGGGAGGGGCAGAGACAGAGGGAGGGCGGGCTCCCCATCTCATTACCCACCCCTTTATCCTTCCCTTGTTTAACCAATCCTCCCCCCCCCCCCCCGCCCAAATACTAGGGAAAAGCAGGCACAGGTCAAGGGCAAAACACAAGTAAGTAAAGTTAATAAAACTGAGTTTTAACTTCAGGACTTCCAAGGGCCTGCAGCGCTCCAGAGATTTAGCACCGATGTCGGGCGTGTCCGCCACGTGCACTGACTGCAGCGCCGGCCTCTGTGCATCCCGCCCCCCCCCCCGCCCCGCCCAGGCTGCAGCTGCACTCAATTCTCAAAGAGCCAAAATGCCCGGTGGCTGGGACTTGCTCCACCTGGGGCAAGAAGGATGGAAAATTACCTTAGCCAAGAACACAGACTTCTCCCCAAAGATGTGGAGAAGCCCTGTTCTCAGGATGAATGGAAGCAGGGCTTGGGGGGTGGGTGTAGCTGGCGCTGGGGGGTGCAGAGCAGAGCCTTGCCCACAGAAACCCGAGAGCTGTGCAGGCATGGTCGGAGCCCCCGCTGCAAAACATCCCTGAGACAGCCACTCGGAAGGCTGGCACGGAGACACTCGTCCCCCAGGGCACTCGCAAACCAGACAGCACCCGTAACTGGAGGCGCAGGCGATGTCCGCACCGTGGCCTGCTCCTCCTGACCGGGCTCAGGGCTGAGCATTGTCCTGGTGCCCTGGCAGGTGCCCAGCCAGGGCTTCTGTCCCCACTGAGCCTCAAAGCCACCACCCATCTCTCCACCCAGGCCGACGCCAAGATGGTGTGTGACGTGGTGAGTCGGATGGAAGACACTGAGCCCTTCTCTCCAGAGCTGCTGTCCGCCATGATGCGCCTGTGGGGTGACTCAGGGATCCAGGAGTGCTTTAACCGGTCCCGGGAGTATCAGCTCAATGATTCGGCCAAATAGTGAGTGTCCTGGGCAGGAGGGAGGCCACCAGCAGGGCGGCGACTCTGGCGGGCAAGGGGTGGGGATGGGTGGGGCAGAGGTCAGAGCAGCTGGGAGACACTTGGCCTTGTGTGTTGGGGGGGAAACAGGGAGGGGCTTCTCCTGCGTGGGGGGGGTTGGGGAGGGGTGCTCCCAGCATGCATCCTGGCTCCTCCTCCAGTCCAGGCCTCTGCACCCACTGGCCCTCCACTGGAGCACAGGAGGCTCACCCCTCACTCCCTTCAGCCTCCACTCAAACACCAACCTGCCTGAGGAGCGTGCCCCACCATCTTATGTCAAATAGCAGCCCCCCACTGTGGACCAACCCCTGATTCCTTCTGATCCCACCTCCTGGCAGGTCACAGTCCAGGTGCAAAGGCCTGGTCTGTCTGGAAGTGACAGCGCAATGCGAAGGGCCAGGCCCCATGCAGGCCCAGCCACCCTCCGGCTCTGTGACCTCGGAGTCCCCCTTCCAAGAGTACCAAATGGGAAGAGACCCACGGAGCCCTTGGCAAACTCTGAGGAAGTGTGGAAGGGCCAGATGCTTGGGGGCCTCTTGGAGCGGGGACCCTGGGGCCAGATGTCCGGGTTCAAGGCCTGGCTCTCAGCTGGGCAAGGTGCCGACCTCTGCTGGCCCTCAGCTCTCTAATCCAGGGGTGTCTGACCTTTCAGTGTCTCTGGGCCACGTGTTAAGTACACAGACACTAAGGAAAACTGATGAGCAAAGTAGAGGCTTTAAGTACATTTACGATTTTGTGTTGGGCGCATTCATTGCCATCCTGGGCCTCATGCGGCCTGCGGGCCACAGGTTGGACACCCCTGCATCTATAAAACAGTGCATTTAACTGGGGAATTAAGGATGGGACACACACATGTGAAGAACAGAACCCAGCCGTGGCCCTGATTATTTTGTCATGAAGAAATGATGAGGCAGTGTTATAAGCACATTGGTCTCGTTGAGAAGTGTGATCCTGCACCCAGAACTGTGCGCAGAGCCCCTTGTGATCTGAATCAGAGGCTCTTTGAGAGTGTGCGGCCACCCTCCAGCCCCCACTCCCAGCCCGGTCAGGGTGGTGCCATCTCCCCCTGTGAGGGGCCCCGGCGGACACTGGGCTCTGAAGGGGCGTGGCCCAGCAGTGCCCAGAGCTGGGTCCATGGCCCCGTGTGTTGCCGTCCCCAGCTACCTGGACAGCCTGGACCGGATTGGAGCCGCCGACTACCAGCCCACAGAGCAGGACATCCTCCGAACCAGGGTCAAAACCACCGGCATCGTGGAAACCCACTTCACGTTCAAGAACCTTCACTTTCGGTGAGGCCCGGGGCCCCCACAGACTGGCTTTCCTGGAGGCCTTGTGTTGGGACAGACAGTTAGATGGGACAAGGGACGCGTCTGCAGGTCTGTTTTCCACCAAGTGCAGGGTTGGGGTCAGCAGGGAGGCTTCCTGGAAGAGGGGTCCTGCAGTGGGGCTGAGGAATGGAGAGGTGAAACCGACCTGCCCTGCCCCTCCTGCCTTGTAGGTGTGATTTCTGGGTGTCATGGGAACAGGAAGAGAGGCCAGGAGGGTTGGACGGGTGTAAGACCCTGTGTTCCGGCCTGCCCGAAGGGCTGAGCTGCAGACCTCTGGCCGCCCACTCCCTCCCCACGTGCCTGCCCGTTCTCATACAGACAGAGGGGCCGAGGCTCTGCGTCCTGGCCCAGGCCTGGCAGGCGGCCTGTCCACAGGGCCTTGGGTGCTGCGCTGGGTGCAGGTGCCTCCCGCCTCCCGCGAATCTGGGAGCGCAGCCTGGGTGCCTCCCACCCCCCCCAGTCACCTCAGTCTCTCCCGCTGTCCCCTGGGGGGCACAGGGCAGGAACCTGGGCACCACGCTGCCCCACAGGCCAAGTCCGAGAGTAACCTCTCCGCAGGGGCGGCAGAGGCCATCGGCCCGCACCGGGCATTCCAGATGGCAGAGCAGGACCCTGGGGAGGTGGGGACAGATAAGAGCCACAGCTGTTTCCTTGCCCGGAGCCCAGTCTGGTGTCTGGCTACAGTCCTCTGCCTCCAGGGCCAGGGTCCTGGGGCATGTGGGGCCCAGCCCCCGACCCCCCACAGTTGTGAGTCCGCTGAGGCTGCAGAGCTCTTTGCTTGGGGGCTCAGGGTGTGAGACGGCTGTTACTTGCAGGGCACTGCCCGCCTGTCCACAGCCTCTGCCCACCGCCCGTGGGCCCCCCAGGGGCGGTGTCTGACAGGAGGCGAGGCTGAGCACAGGTGGCTTTGCAGACAGGCCTGGCTCAGACCCAGCCCTCCATGCCGGCTCTTGCCAGCACCATGGGCACTCAGCCCCTAGGTGCCTCGCTTGTCCTCCACCTAACAGGTGACAGTCCCTGCCTGCCTCCCTCTAGGCTCATTGGGACTCTGCCCAGAGCACAGACAGGAATAGACGTGCCGAGAAAGCCAGGAGCAGGGTGTGCTCCGGACAGGGGGGCCTCACGGAGGTGTGACTTAGGGGCCAGACGAGGCGCACTCCCAGGGAGACCCTGGAGGTGTGCGGGCAGGTATCCGACTCGCCGCATGGAAGCAGACCCCTGCCATGGGACAGACGGCAGAGGTGCCAGCCCCCGCACCTGGAGCAGCTCCTGGGGGCTCGAGCGGGTGCCCGGCCCTTCCTCTTTCCACCCTGGGGCTCACCCAGGAGCCCACACCTGCCTGAGCCCCACCGCCCACCACCCCAGCTTCCCCTTCTCGCCGACAGGCTGTTCGACGTCGGGGGCCAACGATCTGAACGCAAGAAGTGGATCCACTGCTTCGAGGACGTCACGGCCATCATCTTCTGTGTCGCGCTCAGCGGCTATGACCAGGTGCTCCACGAAGACGAGACCACGGTGAGTGGCCCGTGGGGCCCCGAGGGGCCTGGCCGTGATCAGCCTCCGCGGCAGCTTGGGGTCCGTCGTTGGGCAAGTGTCGCCGATGCAGAAAAGGCAGCCGCAGACCCAGGTTCAGGGGGTCAGGGGCAGACTGCTCCCAGACGTCTCTGCCGACTTGGGTCTCGGGCAGTAAGCACTCCTTCAGTAAACAGGGCAGAGTCACGGAGCCCATCGGGCCAGATCTGAATGAAGCCAACCCTAAAAGAAATCAGGGTGTTCCGGGCAGAACGTGCACAAAAGACGACAGCAGTTCTTTCTGTTGGCCGTGCTGCTGCAGGGAGAGGTGTGTGGGGCGGGCCGCCGGGGAGACAGTAGTGCATCTGGTGCGCGTCGAATTTGGCCCAGGGCCCGGGGGGACGGCCAGCCTGGCCTCAGTGGGGCGCCCACCAGGCCAGGCTGCTGGATTCGGGAAGCACCCTCTCTGCCTCAGTTGCCGCTGTCAAGGGGGAGTGACGGTTGTACGGACCTGTGGGGTCACTGGTGACAGACGAGAGCCTCCGCGTGATGCTGGGACAGTGCACCATGTTGGTTGTTGCACTGTCCCTGGTGATTGTCCTGGCGGGGGTCCACTGAGAGTCCCCATCTGGTCTGCAGCCACACAGCGGGGGTCCGTTCACACAACCCGCCAGGGAAGCAGGCCCCTGGGCTGCGGGTCATGCCCATGGCACGGTCAGCTCTTTCTGTCTGCAGCCCTCATGGGCCTTGGCTTGGGGCCTCTTGGTTGCACTGAGGTTGGAGCTAGGCCTGTCTTCTCCCTGAGTCTCCTTTCCTCACCAGCCCTGCCTGCTGGTCCCCCAGGCTGTGGTGAAGATCTGTTGGGCTTTGGGGTGCCGGCCGTGTGGGGTGCAATGCTGTATGGGAAGGAGCCGCCGTCCTGAGGGAACTTTTGGCAGATTGTTGCCGACGCCGCTGCCTGGGTGGGTGATCTGGACTCACGCCAGGTGCTGGCTTGTCTGCCCTGCCCTCCCGCCTCCAGGCCCGGATGCGCCACTGGGTTGGGGTTCAGCAAACCCCCAAAGCTCTGCCTTGTCCTGGGGGAGGCTCCTGGGGCCTCAACTGCACAGCTCTTTCTGGTAACACCGTCGTCATTCTCAGGGACCACAGCGGGGTGTGGTATCTGAGGTCACCATCGCGTAGGGCAGGCCGGGGATGGACGTGCACCCTGGGCTGTGCTTGGACCGTGCACAGGAGCATCCTGGCTCCCTGGTCACCATTGGTCCACCATGCTTTTTCAAGGTGATGTTCATGGTCTGAGTGGCCAACCTTGTGGTCTGAGCTGCACCCACTTGGTCCATCTCTTCCTGCAGGACCTGGAAGTGGGAGGCAGGGCTGTGGGTTTCAAAGAAAGTGAAGGGCTGGAGAGTGGAAGTCCCTTCTCCCTGAGCAGGCCCCTCCCCTGGGACCTGCCTTGCCAGGCCTGCAGACAGCTCAAACCCAGTCCCAGGCCCATGGGTCTCGGGCCATGATGGCCTCTCCTGCACCTCTCTAGCACAGGGTGGGAGCAGAGGGATGTCTGGGTCGGGCTGGCAGCCCTGAGGCCAGAGCTGCATGGTCCTCAGGCCTCCAGCAACCATGGGGCTGGGCAGATTCCAGGACCAAGCTCAGGTAGCCTTCCGGCCTGCCTGCCCTGGCCAGCCCTCAGCACACCCCTCCCCGGCCCTTGCTGCTGGGCAGGGCCCAGGTCCTGGGGTGCCTGCCCTCCACGCTCCTCTGCCTCCCTGCCTTTCCTGTTCCTGGCCCGCCGTTCCCCAACCTCCCTCTTTCTCCCCATGTGTCCTGCCCTTCTTCACAAGGGCCAGAGCAGAAGACCTTAGGGACACCAAGGCACATGGACCCAGGCTGGGGACTCCTCCTGGGGCCCTTTCCTCCCCAAAGCGGACCAGTGGTGTGACCCAGGACAGGACAGCCGCCCCTCCAGGCAGCAGGAGTGGGCCCTCCGACTCAACAACAGCCCGGATGGCGGCAGCTCATGGTCCAGGGCAGCAGGAGCGACACTGCTGCTGCAGAACTTAGCGGACAGCTGTGTATCTGGGACCGGTGGCTGTGCTGGGCAGCTTCGGAACAGGACGATGTGGCCCCAGATCCAGTGCTGGCCCCGCCACTGTGTCACGCGGCAGCCGCTCCACTTTCTGCTCCTTAAAATGGTGATGCTGGGCGCTCAGCCTCTGGAGCAGCTGTGAAGAGCAAGGACCTGCACTCGGGACCCCACTCAGGAGACAGCAGTGGTCGGGCTCGCTATGGACTACGGACACTGAGAGCCAGAGCTAGGCCCAGCTGGCCAGCCCTCGGTCCCCAGCCTTCCTCTCTGGTCAGCCCTACGCATCCCTCCCTGACCTGGGGTGACAGTTGGCCAAGACCCAGGAGCCCTGGGGCTGGAGGCTGCCCTCCCACCAGCTGGCCACCCAGTCCACCGCACCCCAGGAGCCCAGGGCCTCATCCTGTCCTCGTACCCCAGGCCCACGGCTCCAGCGGCACTGGGCCCACCACAACTGGCATCACCACCACTGGCACTACCGCCATCAGGGCCTTAACTTGCCAAACCAAGGCCAAAACCATGAGCAGATTCTGAGAGAAGCTCCAAGCCGGGCAGGTATGAAGCACCTCCCTCCAGTGGAAACCGTCAGCTGAGAGTTGAAAGCAGCAGGTTCTCGGGGCCCGCGGGTGACTTTGCTGTGATGCCTGCCCCCACCCACTCTCGCATCTCACTCCTCACCAGCCACGCAGTCCGCAGTCCCTGGGTGGCCGTGGCCTCTGTGAGCCTGCACGGGGGCCCAGGATGGACCGGCCTTGACCTCCCAGCCCCAAGACTGGTGGAGCCAATTTTCCAGGGCTTTTTCCCCTCTCTCTCTCTCATGTTTTCTGCTGGGTTTTTATGTTCCTCTGTTTTCACTTGTTTTGCTGGGTTTCATCCTGGGGTTCCTCTGGCCCCTCGACTGAGAAACCAGCCCCGATACGCAGCTCACTCAGAGCCGACCCCCCACTCAGCCACGGCCCAGCCAGCCAACCCAGCCCCCAACCACACCAAGGCCACAGCAAGATCACCCCCCAGACGCTGTCCCCCCTGGTGTCTGCTTCCAACTCTGGATTAATTCGAGGATCTCAGTCCTCGGTTAATGTGCCCCGACTGAATGCGTGCACCTTCCCCACCCCCCGCTGGCGAACCTGAATGAGACCCAGTAGAGAAATCTGCATGGCCCTGGGCTCCGTGTAGACGTGTTGGACGGTGGTGCAGCCCCTGCCCCCGAGTGCATGGTGCATGTCCTCTCCGCCAGCTGGCCACCTCCAGTGACCTCGCTGCCCCACCCCAGATCAGCCCTCTTGGGGGAGGGAGGCGTCGGGGACAGCATTCCCCACCTTGCCCGCCCTGCTCCACCCCACCCTGCCTGCGTGTGGAATGAAGAGGGGACCACGTACCATTTGTCTCTGTGGGTCCTCCGTCTCCGTCCCTTGGCGGTACATCCGGCCGTGTTGGTGGACCTCTCCTTGGCTTGTCCCAGTGTGTGGTGGCCGCAGTGGGCCTGGCCCCGCATGCCAGCACTCACTGGCCTCTCCGCTCTGTTGCAGAACCGCATGCACGAGTCCCTGAAGCTGTTCGACAGCATCTGCAACAACAAGTGGTTCACAGACACATCCATCATCCTGTTTCTCAACAAGAAGGACCTGTTCGAGGAGAAGATCAAGAAGTCCCCGCTGACCATCTGCTTCCCCGAGTACACAGGTAAGGATGGTGGGGCGCCTGGCGGCCAACTGGAGCCCCACCCCGCATACTGTGCCCTGCAGATGCTCCGGGGCTGACAGCAGGGAATCCGATGTGAAACCGAAGTCACCCAGGGGAGGCGGGGCGGAAGTGCTGGCTGTGTGACCGCAGCAGCCCGTGGGAGCCTCAGCCTGGTCCCCACAAACAGAGAGTATTGGGGAGGGGGGCTCACCACCAGGCCCCTGGCTCTGCCACTCACAGCAGGTTATGGAACTGCTCAGCGCCTCAGTCTTCGCATCTGAGACATGGGGGCAGTCACGTGGTTTTCCAGCGCTCCCTCATAGAGAGGCGGGGGTGGGCCCCGTGAGTTAGTGAGCGCAGCGCCGAGCCCGGCAGCTGGTGCAAAGCAGGTGCTGGGTGAACGTCACCATCACTGCTGCCACTGTGGTGATAACTAACGAGGAGCCTAACACCTGCCCCATGGCGTTATGGGGTTCCAGGGGCCTGCAGGAAGTGGGGAGACCCCGGCGGCAGTGACCTGGCCTCCCCACGGAGGGTGCTGAGGGTAACGAGGTGCCTCTGTTGGGTTGCTGTGGATTTACCTAACTATGGGTGGGCGGACAACCACAGAGCAGCAAGGGTGGCAGGAGCAGCCCAGGTGCCCGCCGGCATTTCCGGATGGTCAGGGCCTGGTCAGGGAGGTGAGTGGGCATCCCCAGCCTGACCACCGCCCCTCAGCCTATCGCCCCTTCCTCGAGGTCAGGCCACCAGTATCGAGCAGCCAGAAGTGGACAGAGCCCAGCAGCCCTCATACCCACCCGCCAGCCTCCCCTTCGCTACACACTGGGGGTTTGTGCCTCCCTCCCTAGTTGACCTCAGCTGTGGCCTATCAGGCAGCAGAAGCAGGTGGGTAGGTCAGTCACAAAGCTGGTTCCGGGCTGACGCTGCCTGAGTGATCACCTGGAGGCCCCGTCTCCTCCTCCAGCCCAGGCTCAGGAAAGAGCTGTGCTCTGGCCAACCCTTGGGGCCAGGCCTGGAGGCCTGTGCCATGGGCCTGAGATGCTGGAACCCCTCCTGGGATAACGCTCCCAGGCTCCCCGAGTGCACAGCAGCCACTGCAGCTGAGCTCCGTGGCTTTAGAAGCCAGCTCCCCTCCTGCCCTCCCGCAGAGGCCCATGGCAGCCCCTCCTGGGCCCCAGTTCCTGGAGCCTCCCTGCCCCAGCAGCAGCTGCTCTCCTGGAAACCCCCCCCCCCCAGGCTCCCTCCGAAGCAGAGCGACCTGGCTCGCCCCGAGGAAGGCAGCCAGTCGGGGATCCAGACGGTGCTCAGTCCCCGGGCAGTGAGCCTGGGAAAGCAGAGGGGCCAGAGGAGAGGAGGCCAGGGAGGCTCACGGGCACCACGCAGTCTCCGCCCACCTTGGCCTGCCCTGGAGGGTCACGGACAGGAAAGGGCTGCCGGTGGGCTGTGCTTGGATAGGGGCCGGTCCCGACTGGCCTGAGCAGGGCCAACGGGAGAAAAGAACATTTGCATGAGGCATCAGGTGCCTGCGCTAAAGGAAAACAGGTGTTTCATGAACCACTGCTCGCCCTTAACACAGGTGAGGCGCAGTGAGGTTTGACACTTTGTTTCTTGCCTGATTCTTAAACCGTGTGAACTGTGGACTCGCTTCCATGGCCCGCTATTGATGGAGTGGGGCGGCTAAGGTTCCCTCACCCCGCCAGCTTTCTCCTTCAGGTTGTCACTGAGCAGCCCCCGGACCGTGGCCTCGTCTCACCTGTCCCCCCCTGGCTCCTCCCACAGGCCCCAGCGCCTTCACGGAAGCCGTGGCATACATCCAGGCCCAGTATGAGAGCAAGAACAAGTCAGCCCACAAGGAGGTCTATACCCACGTCACCTGTGCCACCGACACCAACAACATCCAGTTTGTTTTTGACGCCGTGACGGACGTCATCATCGCCAAAAACCTGCGGGGCTGTGGCCTCTACTGATCCCTGGCCTCACCTCCCAGCCTCTCACCGCACTGCCCAGCCTGCCGCCCCCCACCTCCCAGAACCAGAGCCCTGGCACCTTTCATGCACTTGACAGAAACACAGTGGCCAGCACCAAGGCAGGAGGAGGGACTGTCCTCCACAGCCACCCCACCCCCCACAGCAGAGCGAGTGGTAACCCGGGCGGGCAGGTGCCGAGTGCCCGCACCACCCTGGGACGGGCCGCTGGCTGGCTGCCTGCAGCTCACTGGCCTCGGCTCCAGCTCTGTTTCTGGAGTGTTCGATCTTGGGGTGGGGGGGGTGTGGGGCCAAGGCCACCGTGTGGCCCAGAATGGGCACCCCCTGCACTTGGTGACTCGCACTGGAAGTCCCAGGGACGACTCCTGTCTTCTGGGGTTGTGCAGGTGGTAGGGGTGGCCTTGGGGCAGGGTGCTGAGAACCACTGCTCAGCTTTTCCTGGGGTCTCTCTGGGTGGGGCAGCTCCGTCACCAAAAGCCAGGGTGAGACTGGGCCCAGGGCACGTGGGTCCGAGGGCTCAGACCTCAGCAAGTGCCTCTTGCCTCCCTCCCTGCTGCTCTCCGGCCAGGGTGGAAGCCCTACCTTCTCTCTCTGGGCCGCCCTTCCTTGCACACCCTTGGGGCTCCTCGTAGCCCTCCTGGGGAGCTCGCAGGTTGGGAAACAGTTCTATGACCCATGACATATTGCAGCAGCCTATGGTCCATGGGGGGAGGACCCGAATCCCACGGTGCCTGGGCAGTGTCAAGGAGGGGGTGTGAGGTTGGGGGAGGGGTGCTGAGGGGAAGTAGCCCTGTGTGGACTGCCATAGGACCTCACACCTCGTCCTTGCAGGCCCAAGGCTGACCCATCTACCTTCCCCCATCACCCAGTTTCAGGCAGCAGCTCCAGGTATCAATAGCCCAGCATTTTCTTCTTGAATTTACAGTGAATCCAACTTGAACCGGCAGGGGCTGGAGGTTCTGTCACTGGGGGGTCTGGGGGGTGTGGATACGGCCAATGCGCAGCTTCGTCTGGTCTTGGTGAAGAAACCAGGGGTGTGTCACCAGCCCTTGGTCCTGCAGGCCCCGGGGGCAGAGGAGGGCTGTGGGCACTGCCAGGGGCCCCCGCTTCTATGAAGAGTCCTAGGAGCCCTTAGAGGGGCCTTGGCAGAGATTCCCGAGCAGCAGCGGGTGGGTGACTTCCCGCTCCCCAGGCCCGGCCCGCCTCGGGCCGCGGGCACTTCTCCCTCCCTCTCCAGGCGCCTCCCGCTGGCTGGAGCCAGCAGCCCAGGCAGACCCTGTGTGCTGCGTGACCGGCTCTGCCTGGGGAGCCACATGTGCCCATGGGAAGCGAGGGGGCCGCCCTGGAGAGGTCTCTGGCTCCCTGCCCAAGCCCTCTGCTCTTCCAGCCCCCGCCTGGGCGCTGCGCTAACCCAGGGCCAGCTTAGACCCTTGGACTCCCAGTGCTGCCCCCCTGGCTGCCCCGGAGCTGGAAAGAGCCCCTCTCTGCCAGCTGTGCTGGGCTCCCTGGGTCCAGCAGGCCCTCGGCTCTGCGCAGCACTCGGGAGACCCAAAGCCTGGCCCCCATGGCCCGAATGCCTGCAGGCTGGGTGCCCCCGGGACGGCCCCTCCGCAGTCGGCTCTCCTGCTGCCGCCCGGCCCTGTGGGAAGTCCCAGGCAGCCAGCCCAGTCCGCTCAGTCCTTTCACCTGTGGGCCAGGCCGGGCCTTGGCAGAGCCCAGCACCTGAAGCCAACAGTCTCCACGTCACCACGGGCAGCCCGGCCCAGGTCTGCCACTTTGCCTCACGTGGAAGACATTGCTGTCATTTCCCAGCATCATCACCTCGGGAGTCACCAGCTGTGCCCCCACTTCTGCCCTGGGACCCCATACTCAAACACAGCCACAAGAAGGGGGAGGTGGCCAAGCCCACCTGGGATGGTGGAAGGCAGTGGCCTTGCAGGCCCTGCCCTCCCTGGTGGCTGAGCTCGCTCGGAGTCTGGGGGAGCAGGCTGCCTGGGGCCTTCCTGCCCCACCCGCTCCAGGCCGCCTTCTCTCTCCCAGACGCTCTGTCCTGCTTCTTGCGCGGCTCTGGGCCTCTGGCCCTCGGGGTGCCCATGGTTGTCTAGTGTAAACCCTCAAGGAGGGGGTGTTGGGGCCAAATGCCCTCACTGCGTCGCCCACGCCGGTCATCACCCTGCGGAGTGACAGCTAAGATGGCAGATGAGTTTTGGCTCCGTCGTCTGTGTAGGCGGAGACGTTGTGAGTGGTGTGACTTGGGTGGCCTGTGTTTGGGGGCCAAGGGGAAAGTGATTTCTAGGAGGTCGCCTTTGCCAAACCCATGAAAAGTGTGCCCGCCACCCCAATGCCCCTAGACCAGTTCAGTGCCCTGCCCCAAATGCCTCCACAAGAGCCAGGTCTTAGCCTTGACACAGAGAACCGAGAGAGGCCCCCACGCTCTTGGGCCTGCTGCGGGGTAGGGCAGCGCCCCAGGCCCCAGGAGGGGAGCTGTTGAGCCTGCGACTCCAGTCTGGGGGTGGTGTGGGCTCTGAGCCCCTTGCCAACAGCTTTGATCTTCTGGGTCTGGGGCCGCTCCCCACAGAAGCCTAATGCCAAGGGCCCCGGCCTTTCCTGTCTTCTCTGGCCCCGGCAGAAACTGAGGACCTGTGGCCACATGTTCCCACCAGGGGGCAGAGCCCAGGCAGAGGGCCACCACCGCACCTGGTGCCAGGAGGCAGCGCTGCCTCCCAGCCCATCTCTGTGCACCACTGACAGGGGCCGGGGACAGGATAGTGCCCGGCAGAAGTGAGTCTCCACAGCCCCCCCAGCAGGCAGCAGCCTTCAGTATGCACCCCACCCAGAGCCTCCAAAACCAGGCCCTTCTTGCCCCTCCATTCTCCCAAGACAAGTGGGGGGTGCTTACCCCTCTGCTCAGTCCTAATGCATTCACAGCGTATGCCAGGTGTGGCCGGTTCTACAGATTCTTCCTCCTTCCGGACCCTCCCCCTTCCCCTCGGTCCAGCCTGTGCACTCCTCAGTAAGTAAATCCACCACGATCCGGGCCTCAGTCTCCTTCTTCCAGACCAGGCAGGGGCCTGGCCAGCCCCCTCTTCGAGAAGCCTGGAGCACCGAGCCTCTTCCACTGCCTCTGCTCTTCTCTGAGCCTTCTGGAAGCCTCAGGCACAGCCTGGCAGACTTCGGGAATGGAGGTCTGCAGCTCCCAGGGATTCAGTCGGGGGTCCCACCGGCAAGCATCCCCAGACAGTTCCCTACGTCGGCCCACATGCCTTCAGAGTGAGGGGCCTAGCAGCTCAGGGCAGCGAGACTGGACATACCGGCCAGACCAGGAAACAGGGCCCAAGTGCAGGCTGTGCCCTGTGATGGTGGTCAGGCTGCTCGACCCCCAGTGAGGCATGGGGGGGCTTTCCCTCTGGGGGCTCCCAGGGCTCCAGACAGACCCCCACCTCAGCCTCGTGAAGGCCCCTGTCAAGGGAGGGGCCGGTCGAGGCAGCAGCAGAACGAAGCCCCCCCCCATTGTCCTCAGTCCCTGGCCCTCTTAGTCACAGGGGTCCCTCTGCATGGAACAGTTTCACCCCCAGGCCCAACGTGCCAAGACCACCAGCGTGGAGACACCTCTTAGCGGAACCAGCAGTTCCACACACCCCTGCCCGTAGCCCCTCTTCTCCTCCCTGTCTCTGCCCCCCCATCTTGGTTCTGCCCCAGTGCCCACTGCCTGAGTCCTCTGCCCCCCAAGCTTCCTCCCCACACCACTGCCACCTCTCTGCTCCCCTCCCCCCTCCCAGGCAGGGCGGGCATGGGCGCCCCTCCCTCCTTAGCAAACCCTCCATCCATCTTAGTGTCAGTAGTCCCGCCCTCCACCCCTCTGCTCCCCCCAATTAACTGTAATTTTGTAAGTAGAGCGACTCGTGGGTTTAATAAATCTCTAGTCATTGTAATAACTTATGGGCTGCAGTCATGTATTTATCAGTCACCTACCATTAATAAAAAGTGCCAGCTTTCTCTAGTGTGAGTGGTGTGTTGTGTTGGTGCCCACACCTCCGCCAGGCGCGCCCGCAGGAGCTGGGGCCTGGGCTGCGGGACACGTGGTGGAGAGGCACACCTGCCGGGGGCAGGAGGGTTCCGGGTGGCTGGCCACCCTACCCACCGCTCTGGATTGTCAGGAGGGCCGAGGCCGGCCTTCCCCCCGCGTGCTCAGTGTCGTCCAGGCCACCACGCTGGGCCGTGGACACAGTTCTCCTACTGGTCTCAGCTCTGCTGAAGTTGGGGGCAGGCAGGCGCTGGGTGGGTGGCTGCCGTCTCTCTGGCTCTGACCCTTCTGGCTTCCTTCTCTTTTCTCAAACGGTGCCGTCTCCCATTTTGACTGTATTCTCGCCTCTGTTTTCTCTGGGACGCTTGTCAGGACAAGCTGTGCTCTTGGCTCCTTGGTGGCAGGTTCCAGTATGAGTCCGGGCTGTGGAGGGGTCTCAGTGCCGGCGCCCCATGTCTGCAGTGGCACCTGTCCCGCTGCCCCCCACTCCCCATCCCCAGATCCGCCCTTCTCTCCCCACTTCCTGAAAGGCCCTCCAGGGAACCCAGGTCTGACCAGGCCCTGTGTCCCCTGCCTCCTGTGTCCCCCGGCTCTCTGCCACTCCGGGGCTGCAGCCCTTTTTGGGGTGTGCATCGTCTCTCCCCACTGGACTGAACTCTCAGGGAGCGAGAGCCTCACGGCCCCCAGCCCCACACTTGGCCTCCAGGGAGACCTCACCCACTGCATTATGAACTGGCTCCCTCACCACAGCACGAGAGCAGTGAGCCTAGGACTGTGCTGTTGACGGGCAGACTTTGGGGGGAACTGGGAAGGAAACCGCGTCTGGCTGGCCAAGGGAAAGGACAGGCATTTGCTGCAGAGCCCTGCGGGAGGAGCAGAAACATGACAGTTGTGACACCCCGCACTGGTCTCAGCCACCCGAACGGGGGTGGGGCTGACACCCTTACAGGTCACTGATAATGAGGCCATCGAGGGAGAGGTGACTGCGGACGTGTGGAGCCTGTCCTGACCCTTGTTACTTACTCCTCCAAAGGCCACAGACCCATTGCATGGCCTGTGCTCTGGAGCTGTCCTGGAGCCGGGTGCAGGTCTCTGCACTTCTGGGTCACCTCTCGGTGCCCCTAAGGGTTGGTGAGATTAAAGGACAGGAGGGAGGTGACATGCTGGCAGAGTGGGGCTCGGTGGCCATGGCGCATGTGCCATGGCCTCCCTCATCCTCCTGCTCAGACAGAGGTGAGCTGGCTGCCCAGCAGGTACCTCACCGGCACACCCCCTGGGATGAGCCCACCTCGGTGATGAGGCCCAGTGATGCCCCCGTCGGCGCTCTGCTCTTGCCCCTGATTTGGTTCAGTGTTCTGACTTCAGAGGGAGACTACTAGCCCAGAATCACTTCTGGGCTTGAGTTGAACACCCAGGGAGCTGGGTTTGGGGTGGACAAGTTCCCAGGGCCAGGGCAGGACAGCTGTCCCCCCCCCAGGGGGCTGCATCTCATGAAGTCACTTTCCCAGGCAGATGGGGTTTGTTCCCAGAGAGATGTGCACCCCCTGTGCTGCCTGGCTTCCCCTGATAGAACGTCAGGCCCTGCCCAGGGAAGAAGGGCTGTGCCCTTCTTGAAAACATCCTGCGGGGTCCGTCCTGGCTGAATTTAACCCGCCAGAGGGGCTGTGGCAGGTCCCTCAGGACTCCTGCAGGCAGCCCCCCCAAAGTCGTGACCTCCCTGAGTCCCTCACCCCTCCCTGAGGACACCCTCTCCCCACAGACTGAGCTCAAGAGGAAAGGTCTGGACAGGAAGGGCCGAAGCCCAGCTCCAGCAACCCCACCTCCCAACACACACGTTCAAGGAGACCCTCCCTTGGCTGGGGACTTTGCAGGAGAGCCCAGACCAGCGGGGCCTCGGCCTCCCCCAGGGGGTGGGGGCTGGGCAGACCTCTGCTGCAGGCCCCGAGGTGAGGGGTGCAGATGGGGCTGAAGGCTGAAGGCCTGTGCCGTGTGGCAAATGACAGCTCTACCTGTCAGCCCTCCGAGGAGCCGCAGGGGCCTGGGAGCCCGTAGCTGCTGAGCGGCCCCGCTCCTCCCTCTCCAGCCTAACTCTCTCTTCTCTCTCCCTGTCTCCGTGTCTCCCCCATGCTGTCTCCCCCGCTCTCTCCCCCTCCCGCCCGCGGCCGCAGAACCGCATGCACGAGTCTCTCATGCTCTTCGACTCCATCTGCAACAACAAGTTCTTCATCGATACCTCCATCATTCTCTTCCTCAACAAGAAAGATCTCTTTGGGGAGAAGATCAAGAAGTCACCTTTGACCATCTGCTTTCCCGAATATACAGGTGTGTGTCTCGGGGGCCCCTTGCAGGACAAAACCCCACCCTGCCGGGGACCTGCGTCACCTCCAGAGGCATGACCCAGAGCTGCTGCCTACGGCCCAGGGACCAGGCTGCCAGGCCAGCACTGGCTGGCATGGGGTGACCACACCGTCACCTCGGGAGTCTGGCAGGGCGCAGAGGAAAACACCAGGGTTCGACCCGGGTGTCGGGGGGGGGGGATGGACCCTCTGGTCCACGTTTTGTGACCAGGTGACTTGGGAGTGACATGGAGGAATCAGGAGGCAGAACAGGACTCAGCCTCCCCTCTCATCCTTGTCACCACTAGAAGGCGTGTCCTGCCTCCCCCTGCCTCACCGGGGTCCGCCCCTTGCCCTGCTCAGGTTGGCGCGGACCCCACAGCACCTGGGCTTGATTAGAAAGGGTGGGCACGTGGCCCGTCAGTGGTCCCACCTGCTTTCTCTATCCTTGGGGCCCTGCCTGGGCCCCGCCAGAACCTTACATCCCCCGCACCTGTGTTCCCCTCCTCTTCCTCCACTCCCGGTCTTTCCCCAAATCAAACCACTCCACCTCTCTTCTGTCTTCACCGGGGCAGTCCCCTCACACAGCGGGGCTCTTTCCAGCTGGGCAGAGGGATGGCCGGCCCTGGGCTGCAGCTGACGGCCATCACAGTGCTGCTGGGACGCCAGAGCCCAGCCTTTGTCTTTCTGGGGCCTGGGGAGCATTGTGGGGGGCTCTTTGCCCCGTGCAGTAGAGGGTGAGTCACAGGTTGGCTTAGCCAGGAACCACCTGCTGGCGGCCCCAAGAGAGAGGAGGCATGGGCTCAGCTCCCAGGGCCACACAGGTCCCCAAACCCAGCCAGGTTCCAGAAGGAGTGGATGCTGGCCTTCCACCCTTCTCCCCCGTGGACATGGAGAAGGGCCCGTGGCTCGTTCTCAGCACAGCCCAGCTTCTCACTGCTGTTTGCTGCTAGTCAATCAGCAAGGCTCCCGCCCACCCGAAGGTGCAGGGAGCCAGGTGGAACCTGTCAGGCTCGGGTCTGACGTGGTCGGGAGCATCGTCTCCAGCAGGCAGGGAGCCAGGGCAGCCTCTGGAGCCAGCCCACCTGCACCTTTGGACACCATAGGAGGAAAGATAAGGCCTGCGGTGTGGGGCGGCCGCCAGGGTGGATGGAGAGAGCAGGGCAGGAGCCAGCTCTGCGCACTGCTGTTACTCCGAGGACACAGGAGCCGGCCGTGAGGGAGGCGCCCTCTGCAGGGCGGCATGGGCCAGGCCCCTGCAGTCCCCAGGCCCAGGAGGGCCCAGCCTGCAGTCAGCCACACTGCTGGCCTCTCTCCCAGCCTCAGCCAGGGACCCTGCAGGCCCAGGTCAGGTCTTTAGAAAGTTGTGGTGACCCATGGGTGACTCAGCATCCAGAAGCCTGGGCAGGCCCTACTCTAAGGCTCCTCCTTCGTCCCTGTCCCCAGGGACCCGGACCCACAGGAGCCCGATTTGGGGCAGGGCCCAGGTAGCAGCCTGTCTCACTGCTGAGTAGTGAGAGGCACTGGCTACCCCCAGAGAAAGTCAGTCTGAACTGGGGAAACATTCGAGTTCTCCAGAGCATCCAGAGGGGCCCAACACCATGTCATAGTTGAGTTCAAATGTCACCAAAATGGACGACAGGTCACCAGCGGCCAAGGCCTGTGGAAGACACCGCACGGGCTGAAGGGGCAGGGGACAGGTGGGGGGGGTGCTCCTGGAGTCACTCCCGGGCACCTTCACCTCCGCGGCGCCCCGTTTTGGCACCCTCAGGACAGGAAGCTCCTGGATGGGGTCCCCTCTGACACTGTGTCTAGCCTGTGAGCGGCCACTACCTCCGTTGGTGGCTTCATTTCAGCCTCCCCACTGAATGCTCTCAGTGCCCAGCCCACAGTGGGGTTGAGAAGGAGGTTCCGCGTGTGGGCTGTCCAGAGCCGGTGTCCATTCTGTCCCCCATCCCAGGGATGTCCCCCACCTTCACCCAGCCCCTCACACTCACTTATCTGGCTACAGAGGCCTTTTGGCGGCCCAAGCCCAGCCTCCCCTGTGGCTCACACCTGGCCACTCGAGAGCAGGGCAGGGCCGTTGGGGCAGGGATATCATCCCACACCCTTGAAACCGGATTGTGTGGTTTCCGAGCTGGCCTGACCCCAGTGGCCCCACGGGGCATCTCCTTCGATGGGCTGTTAGGCAGTTCTGCATTGATCCCTATGTTATGGAGCTTGGAAGTTGTCCAAAGGGCAGAGCCACAAGGGATCGGGGTGCAGCTGATTAAAAAACTGTCTGTGCATCACCCACAGGTACCCCAGAAGGCCCTGGTCAGGATCAAGGACAGATGAGGAATTGGGGGGGACGGTGGGGCTTAGTTGGTATTGCACACGCTGCAAGCACCTTAAGCCTCCCACCGAGGGGATACCAGTGCCCCCAAGTCTGGGCCACTTACCTAAGAATGAGGGCTACGTAGGGTCGTGCCCAGCCCTGCCAAGTGGCTTCTCGTTAGAGGAAGCCACCCAGGAAGCAGTACAGGTTCAGCTCGACACCCAGCACGCCCTGGTCACCAGGAATCCTGGGTCCCACCCTACCAGGAGCTCTTCCTTGGATGTTACCGTGTTGGTTTACCAGAAGCAGTGTGACTGGTTTAGGGGTGAGTGTTGTGAAGCACAGACTGGGGCGGAGCCTCAGTGTGCTCACCTAGAAGGCAAAAGGGACCTTGTGTGGCCACCGTGCTCCAGGGCTCCTGGGTCCCTCCAGTGTGGAAACAGGACGACCTTAACAGGTCAGAAGCCGGGCCAGCGCCGAGCCGCAGGTGGTTCCGATGTGAAATGCAGCCACGCCCCGGAGCAGGAGGCCTGAGTGCGGCCTGCTCCATCCCTGCCAGTCTCCTCTGCTCCCTGGAAAACGCCACGGCCCACCGGTCGTCTTGGGGCCCCCAAGCCGTCTCCCCGGCTCTCACAGGGCCTCCCCCCTGTCCTTGTCGTTACAGGCCCCAACACCTATGAAGACGCAGCCGCCTACATCCAAGCACAATTTGAAAGCAAAAACCGCTCGCCCAACAAAGAAATTTATTGTCACATGACTTGTGCCACAGACACGAATAACATCCAGGTGGTGTTCGACGCCGTCACCGACATCATCATTGCCAACAACCTCCGGGGCTGCGGCTTGTACTGACCTCTTGTCCTGTATAGCAACCTGTTTGGTAATGACTCCAGCACTCACAGAACAGCTTGTACACACACACACACACACACACACACACACACACACACACACACACATGCAAGTTGGTAAATAAACTTCAAAGAGGCGTAACAAAACATTATATATATAAAAATATCTATTAAAAATTCTTTTTAGTTTGTACTAGAAAGAGCTTCGGACAGAACTGACCACCATCCTGTAGGTGAAGGTGTTCCTGGGTCAGCCCGTGAGCGTGCACACACTCACATTCACACACACGTGGCGGCGGGCGTGCTGGCTCGGGGGGCCATCCTTGTGAGAGGTCTCTCTGAGACCCATTTCTGTGAGCAGGAGAGGCAGAGGGGCTGGGTGGGGCCTGGCCCATCTCGCTGCTTCTAGCTCTAAGGCTAGGCACCCTCGGCCTGTCCTGCTCTCGTGTGAATCCCAAAACCCTCCACAAAATGGCCAATACCCTGGTCACCTCCTTGTCCTAACCCCCAGCAAAAACAGGACCACCAAGGACCCTGCACAAGGGAGACGCCCTGTGCTTTCTGAAAGCAGCCGAGGGGAGGGGACCCGCAGGGCACATAGGAAGAAGGGGAGAGATGGGGCCGAGGGGAGGGCTGGACGGGTCAGGGCCCCACGGACAGGCCTCCAGGGGCCTGGGCTTCCTCGGGCTTCTGGTGGCCCCTCGATGCTGCCCGCCCCGCCCCGCCCCACCCCACTATGAGGAGACACATGACAGGGTTTGTTGGTTGGTTGGTTGGTTTCTCAAATCAAAGAAAGTGGTCAGACTGGACCCCTTATCTCTCTCTCTACAGACTGCTTCACGGACTCTCTGCTGTTGACCTTGATCTCCTGGTAGCATGACCTTTTGGCCTTTGTAAGACACACAGCCTTTCTGTGCCCAGCCCCTGTCTAACCTACGACCCCAGAGTGACTTACGGCTGTGTATTTCTGTAGAATGCTGTAGAATCTGGTTTTAGTTGAGTCTTTACATTTGAAATTTGAAAGGAAAAAAATGTCTGCTTTGTAGCTTAAAAGGAACATGGAAGACTCCCCATGACATCCATATTTCTTTCTTTTTTTCTTTTGGGGGAGGTGGTGGGGATTCAAGAAACATACACTTGCATCTCCACCCCCCCAACCTCACCGAGAGGTGGAGGGGGCGGGGCCTGCTCCCCACGTCACTCACACCCCCGCCCAGCCACACACTCACCCCCAGTTTGTATAGAAAAAGCACAGATCTCTCGTGGCCTGTAGCTGCCAAAAAGAATCCGGATCACCCGTATAAACAGAGCCTTCTAGAAAAGTTTCCCCGCCAGCCTCCTTTCCGCAGAAACCCTCCGTATGATTTTCAGTTGGTTTTTATTTCCGTCCTAATGAGCCCTGGGCACCACACACCAAGGTCAGCTTTCACAGTCTCTGGGGGTCGGGGCTGCGGTCTTTCTCCCTCCACGTTCCCGCCTCTCCGCCTCTCACACGGATGCCCCGCCCCCGTGCGCGCGCCCCCTCCCCCTCCTCCGTTCCAGTGGCCTCTGTCCGCTCTTTCTCACGTGGGGATGATTGTGCTGCAGATAAAAAACAAACAAAAAAAAACCCCACACATTTTTTTAAATGCCACGAGATGGAAAAGAAAAAAACAAAAATTACAAAAAAAGAGATGGAATGTAGTGTTTACATGAAAGCCAGTTTTCATGATCAGTCCTGTGTCATTTCTACTTTGACTCGTACTCCAACCCCAAACCCCTTCATGGGTTCACTTTTAAGACTTGACATTTGCCGAAGACCAGTTACAGCCATTTCAGATAAAGAGGAGGCAAAAAGACAACACACACAAAAAATTAAAAATACAGAAAAAAAAAAAAACTTGGAAAAAAAAAGGAAAAAAGAAAAAAAAAGCCCACGGGTCTTTCTAAGCCTTTCTATTCCCGATCGGTGAGGTCTCTGTGATGTCTTACACACTGCCATCCACTTCTCCGACTAATGGAAAACTCACGTGTAGCTCAATAAAGAGAATGTTTGTCTGTATTCCCGCGTCTCACCCTCGGGCTTTGTTCTGACAGGAAAAGGCAGGAGGGATTTGACTGGGCCACGGACACTGGGGGGCTGGGGGGCCCGGGGGCCAGGGGGCCAGGCTGTAGGTGGCAGAGAAAGAATCCCTCCAGGCCCTACAGGGTGCCCAGTGGGTTGGAGCATCGCTCTGGAGACGCAGAGGTTGCAGGTTCAACGATCCCTGGTCAGGGCACCTACAAGAAGCAACTAATGAATGCAGGAATGGAAAACGACCTGATCTGTCTCCATCGATCGATCTCTCTCCCCCCTCCCACCTACACGCTCTTCCTCTCTCTGAAATCAATTTTTAAAAATCGCTAAAAAGAAACGATCCCCCCCACCCGCAGGACTTTCCCCATGTCCCCCATTCCCCCTCCCTGCTGCCATCAAAGGGAGCCAGCTGAGTGCAAGGAGGGCAGAGGAGGGGACGTCTTGCTGGCAGATGTCCCTTGCCCCAGGCTCGCAGCTCCCAGCCCTTCCTCGCTCTTTGCTGGTTTTGTTTCTTTCAGAGGGTAGCGTGGAACTGAGCACTGGAAAGTGAACAAATGGCGGCCAGGTGAGGGCAGGTCCTCCCAGATCTGCTGATGCAGGATTTCTTCTGCTCCACCACCGTGGGAGGAGGGTGGTCCCAAGAATAAGGCCCAATTGCCTGGGCCCTCTGCTGTGCCCCCTGCTGGCCGAACACCCAAAAGGCAACTGAGATCGGCACAGCCTGGCGTTTGGAGTCCGATTCTCGTCCCTGCCAGGCTGCTGGCCTCACTGCCTCTCCTAGGTTGCCAGGGCTTTGCTGTAATAACTAGCAAGTCGGTTGAGACAGGGACCTGGGGGAACACAGCTCACCAAAGTCCTAGCATTGTGTCCATGGGTCGCTCATTAGCAAAGCAGGCAAGTGTGACATGGTACCATCCAGGGGCAGGAGGGCCTCGGGGGGTCAGGTCATTGGCATCCTCTCTGCACCCCAACAAATGGGAGTTCCCGGCCCTGGCGGTTGCAGTGGGTTCCGAATCTCGGGTACCGGGGAATCACAAGAAGATGGTTGGTTCTGGGAATGAACCGACTGATCGGGGCGGCCTTGGACCCCCTTGGCCGGGACCAGCCTGCTGGCCGGTCGGGCCACACTGGTGGAAGCAGAGGCCCACAGCCACCTCCGCAGACCGGAAGGGCACGCTCCCAGCCACAGCCTGACCCCCCACCCGGGGAAGACACACAAAGCACAGCGCAGATGCGAAGCTGAAGGACACAGTGGGCGCCGGCTCATCGTGTAGCTGAAATTTGCTGCAAATGAGCCATGTTCCAGCAGGGTTCTTCCCCAAGTTCCAGACGAGCTTCGTAGATAAAACAAACGGGACTTTCGCTCTTGCCTTATCCTCCTTAAAATGGAAGTCAGGGAGCCTTGTTTGGGGGAAGGACACAGGGAGACCGATTCATCAGAGAGGGGAGAATGGGGGCCGGGCATCGCCATCTCTGAAAGCCCCACGAGAGACCTGTGTGCCGCGGGATCTGGAACCGCTTCAGGGTGAGGAGCCCGGATGAGGTTTCTGGGCGAGGGCCGTCAGAGCAGGCGGCAGTGGGCAAGGCCGTGGCTCCTCTGGCCTGTGCAGCCATTTCAACAGGTCACTCAGTTTCCCTCCCTGTCATGAGGGAGGGTGGGTCCCTCCCCCAGCCCCACCCCCAGAGGGCCACTCTGTTGGCTGAAGACAAAACAGCATGTTGTCTGCACAGCTCAAGTGGGAAATCAGGTCCAAGTGGTCACCTGGGACACTAGGGTTTGCACCAACGGAAAATGCCCACGTTAAAAACCTCAGATTGTGCCAGGGGCTGGGGGGATGGGGGGCAGGATCTGAGAATCCAAGATCTCAACAAAATAGGGCCCGTGAGGAAATTGAGGGAGTAACATAAACTACTTCTAGAAGCCCAGAGAGGGCAAGGGCCAGGGCAACTCAGCCCCCACGGACCACAGTGTCCTGCCACTTCTGACTCTGCCCCGGGCTGCGGCGCTGAGCAGAACAGGCTCCCCGACCTTGGAGACACCCAGGACAGCGACAGGTCCTGAGATAGGGACCCAGCGGGATGGCGGTCTGACAAGCGCTCCTGCCGCTGCCCTGAGCACCTAGCCCAGCCACCCTCGATGAACGACAGAAGCCCAGAGTCAGGAGCGCCCGGAGGTCTTCATCATCCGGGCGCATTTTGGACTTTTCTTTTCCATTATCTGAAGCTCTGAGACACATCCCCGCTTGGACCACTCATATCAAGGCCTGCCAGCATTTCCAGACCTTCTAAGATTGACTTCAAATAATTTCCTCTTTTCACACGTCTGAAACATTCACTGTCATCTTTAATGTGTACGACCTGCAAAACGTTCGGATGGAAGAAAACGTCGGCCGAAAGAGTGAACACAGAAAACCAAAACAGAGCATTCTGGTGACTCCGGAAACGATGCCTCGGCTTCCGGCCACACACAACGCAGTAACAACCGAGTTTGCTTTTTATTGTTGTTCTTGTTTTACAATAGAAACAAACAGCTATGCTCTCAGCAAAACAAAACACTTTTAAAAAAAATCACAGAAATTTACTAACAGCGTTTCAAAGGTAAGGCTTTTGAAAGATTTATCGAAATAAATTATCTTGGCCTAAACATTGACTTCATCACTCTCATCTCAATCACTTTTCAACATTCTAAAAACTTCCAGTTTAAAATACATTTCACTTTGCCAATAATTTTAGATAATACTGGATTCTCCCCTAAAGGACTACCAAAAAAACTATGCTTTCAAACATTTAAAAAACAAAAACAAAAAACTTAGTCCAACAGGACATGAAACTGAATGCTGTAACCTATCACTGCATGTTTCAAACCTCGAAGTTCAATGGTAAAGGATTTGAAAAGGGCCAGGACCTGGGTCCCTCCGAGGCAGCTGGACCCGACATCTCACCTTTCCAAGTTCAATCAAACCAACAAGAACAAGGTTACGAAATGAAGGGCTCCGGAGGAGAAAGATACAAAAGATATCTTTTATTTCTTCAATAAGGCCCTCCAGGATGCCCTTGCCCATCTTGTAACGCCCACATTTTCTCCCAGGACCAAACCCGCAGCCTCAGGCATCGCCCGGTGCACTGACCAAGGATGCAAACCACACAACAGAGTTGGCTGCTCCACCCGTTCCGTGCTGGGCCCCCGAGTCCGGGGGCCGGGAAGGGCAGACAGAAGACAGACACGCGGGGTGGACTCGTAAGACGCGGGAGCACCAGCGTAAATGGCAATACAGCCAGTCTCAACTGGGGGTCAGAAGGGAAGTCCTGGATGTACTGGTACCCAGGGGCCACCTGTCCACACTCTGCAGCCCGGGGCTGCTCCGGGCATCAAACCCAGCTCGGTCCGTCCTAGGTGCCCTGCCGGCCGGGGGCCCGGGCTCCGGCTCTGAACGCTGTGGATGCCTCCCAACCAAGGACAGCCTGCGGCGGCAGCCCCTCCAGCGGTGAGGCATGGGGTCCTGGCCCCACCCCCACTTCCTGCCAGCTGTGGGGCTAAGGCGCCGGCGTGCGCTGTGACTCGTGCACGAAGCAGTCATCGAAGCTGCCCGCTCCCTCCTGATCTCCCCCACCCCGGAGAGGCCGGTCAATGCCAGAAGACGTCATGCCTGGAGTTAAAATGTGCGGGGTTTCCAAAGGAAAAAGAAATGTCACATAGAAAGTATTACAAAAAAGGATTAAACTTGTCAGCTGTCCAAACACTATGACGACCACATGCTTTATACAGCGGCGATGCAGTCGGGCCCACGCCTCCAAGTAGCAGGTGGACCAGGCCAGGCCTCCTGGGGGGGGAGGCGGCGCTGCTGGGAGGCGGTGGCCCAGGGGGGCCAGGAAGCGCTAGGAGGTCTGCTGCTTCTGGAGTCTCCGTTCGGCAGCCGCAGCCAGCATCCTTCGACGCAGGGTCACGGGGTCAGAGGTCGTGTTTTCGGAAGCCGGGCCGCTCTCTGAGGCTGAGTCATCTTCAGAACTTCGGTTCAAGAAGCGCCTTGAACAAAAAGCAAAGGCCTGGCAGGAGAGGCGAGGAGCACGCAGGGCACACACACCACACAGCTCACGCTCCCTTTCCACCTCCTCCTCTTCCAGGCGCCTCGTGAAGCTGTCATCTGTCCCTGAGCAGAGCAGCGGACGTTCTCTGCATGGGGGAGGAGGCTCGGCAGGCCTCAGGTCCACTCTCCCTGCCCCTGGCCGTCCCCTCCCACGTACACACCCAGCACCGAGTGCCCGTGCTCAGGGGCCGGCTTACTTGCGAGCCTGCTGCAGAAGGTCGTCCTTCCGCTGCACCAGCATGCGCTGCCTCTCATCCGCAGACTTGGAGAAGCGGCTGCCCCGAGCCTCAAAGTCCTCCCCCTCGCTGGGCTCCGCCTCGGCCTCCGCCTCTACCTCGCTGAAGTCCAGCGCCTCCTCCAGCTGGGGACTGAGGTCCAGCGGCACGCGCTCCGTCTGCACACAGGGGAAGCGAGGGGCCGGTGAGGACAGGCCGCCCTCCCGGGCGAGCTCCCTGCCTGGCCAGAGGACCCCGAAGAGTGTTTGTTCTCCTGGACCCAAAAGGGGGCCCTCATGCACATGGTGTGGCAGGGGTGGGCTGCCGTGGGGCGGGCCGCCGTGGGGCGGGCCACGGGGCAGGCCCATGCACCACCAGGCCCAGAACATGAGGCACAGCGTCGTGGAACAGGAAAACGGTGGGTCACACAAGAGATCTTGGAAAATAGGAAAGTCATCTGCTCGTCTGCATTCTGGGAGTTTTCTCTCTGATTCTAATAATGGTTCACTGCCCAAATTTCACACCCTCCTCTGACTCTGAAAACAGTCAAGCAGCCAAAAAGGCTGAATTTTCAGGACCTTTCTAAGACGGATGTAAGAGCACAGGGCTCCTCGTGTGACATTATAGTGGGAGTCTCTCGGTATGGGCTGAGGCTCCGATGCCAGGACGATGGCCAGGGCCCCCACCTGCCCAGGCGTGTGCCGACCTTCCTGGCTCATGCACCAGACCCCAAACCCGGCTGCCGGGGTCAGCACAGCCGCCACCTCCAGGCGACGACAGAGCTGAGGTGGAAAAGGCTCAGACACAGGCCTGTAGTCCTGTGTGCAGAGCTTCTCTGACACCCACCCCCCACCTCTCCCTGCCTCCAGCCAAGCAAGTGAGGGGACTTCAAAAGAACAGTGTTGCCTGACTCCTACTCCCTCAGATTCGGGGGACTCGGGGACCAGTGGTGACTAACACACCTGAGAAATCTAGGAGAAAAAGACCGGCTTGTAGCAAAGTAACAAAAAGGCTCTGATGACAGCAAGTTTGACTCCCACGGACTGAGGTGCTGCCCTGTGTACTTGGGAGCAGCGTGGATCTTGCCCAAGGGGAGCACTTGGGGGGCATGTGACCCCCATGAAGGTAGGGTGGCCATAAATAGCCAGCTTAACTGTCAAAGGAAGTCACGGCCTCTGGGACTGAGACCTGGAAGATGACGATATGGACCCAGGGACACACACACACACACACACGTGCTGGGGTCTCACCGCCCGCGCCCACCCTCCCTCTTCCTGAGCCTGGCTCCGCAGGAGGCAAGAAGGGTGGGTGGCGAACGGAGGCGGCACCAGGAGAAGGAAGCAGACGCCCTCCCCCAGCACCTGCGGTGCCCACGCCGGGCGGACGCAGGCCTGAGCAGGCTGGGGTGGGGGGTAGTTAAGTGATGGGCAGATCAGACGCGGTGACTGGGCCCAGTGGGCACTTTTACTAACTGATTGTCACCCAGGGGCTTTTTATTTCCTGAGAAGGACCAAAAATGTGATATAATGAGCTTCCCTGTCAAATATGTGCTTTCCCTTCCACTGTTAGAAGAGAAATCGGAAAAATTCAGGAGTCTTCATGGGAAACTGCAGAGTGGAGAATCAAGGCAGGGCCCACAGCCCGCGCCCCCAGAGGCCCGAAGCCACCCGGCGTCAAACCGGGCGGAGGCGGCCCACCACCGCCGCGGACCACACCGGCGGGAGGCCCGGCACCACCTAGAAAGGCTGCGAGATCCACCGTGGGTTTGGACACGAAACACCTAACCCAGCAACGGGCCTGCAAAGTCTCAGGAGTGCTCGCTGCTTCCTCTTTGCAGGAAACATGCACGAGGGGAGAGCGGCCTCCTTCAGGCCGCCCTGCACGTCCACAACCACAGGGTAGGTCGGGGCGGTTTTCTTCCAGTCTCTCAAGGAAGACGGGGAAAGTGGAGGCTTGGGTCAGGCCAGGGAGAGTTAGAGAGAAGAGCCGTGCACCGGACCCGCGGGGTGTGGGGCTACGAGCGGGGCGAGCGGGGGAGGGGCGCCTCCGCCCGCAACCAGCGGCAAGAGCCGCTTCTGGTTACGGGAAGCCACCCAGGCACCCCGAGTCACCCAGCGTGCACATGTAGGCAGATCGGGTTCCCAAGACAACCACACTCGTCCCACCCGCGCCCACACAGGGTGTCTCGTTTTGGTGCAGTTCACAGGCCTGGAGATGCCAGGGGGGCCGGCAAGGTGTGCAGGTGAACAATTCGAGGGCTCCAGCTCCGGGAGGCTGAGTCCGGTCAGCCCCCACACCTGGGTCTGGGTGAGTCCCGTCACCCTGAGCCTCGGGCCCAGCCTCCCTCCAACCTTCCAGTGGCACTGCCACTCCAGCTCAGAGTGGCAGGGCTGGCCTGGGGCGGGAGGGCGGCCCATCCTCGTCCAGGTCCTGTGACTCTCGGTCTCCAGGGAGGGGCCACGGGCCCCTGGGGGCCATGCAAACCACACCCCAGCACCTCGTGCTGCGCTGGCCTTAAGTACTGAGCCGGTCAAAGCAAACAGCCCTCTTTCACCCCCTTGCCCTGCGCCTCCTGGAGGGAAAGGGTGTGTGACCCGGGCCATCACCGGGCACCGCCGGCTGCTCCCAAACCCCGAGCAAGTGCTGTCCCTGGTGCGCAGGCCCTACCTGGGCGGAAGCTGCTCCCTCCTCCGGCTCCCCATTGGGCCGTTCCACAGGGCTGTTCAGTGCAGGTCTAATGCCATCTGGCCGCTGAAAGAGACGGCATGACAGTCAGTGCACAGCCATGCGGAGCCCGAGGATGGGCACCTGGGAAACGCTGAGGGCAGGGGAGTGACGGTCCCCCGGCCACGCCTGCACCAGGCCCGCGGCGCCACAGTCGTGGAAGTGCTGCTAAGAGGACAGGTGGGACCCGGGGGCCCGAGGCCCGAGTCTCAGAGTCACCTGCAGGCTCCACGGTCCCTCTCCCTGCCAGTGCCAGTCACAGCCCGGCAATCACACAGGGACAGCAGCTCCCACCGACGGCACACTCTGTGGGAAACTTCTTCTGAGCTCTCGCTCATCCCCTTAACATCCTACAAAACGGGGCTGCTGTTCTGGGTTTCAGGGGCATGAGCTCCCGGCTGGTCCAAGGCCCCGCCCACACCCCTTCGGCTCCTGGCACCGCAGCACTGGCCTGTTCGCCTTTCCGAGCCGAGAACCCCCTCTGTCTGCACGAGGCAACGCTGCCCCTGGAAGCAGCCCTCAACCGATGACAACAGACAGAAGCACTGTGTTTGGAACCGGACCCCAGGGCCCCCCAGGGACCAGCTCCAGTTACCTCGGTCCGGGACCTGCTGGGCTGCAAGCCCCCCACCAGCCGCCTTCTCTTCTTCGACTCACAGCCCCACCAGCTGCCTGAGTCTCCTGGCCCTGATGTGGCCTGTGAATCCTCGGCTCGCGGTCTGTGGCCAGGAAACCCAAAGCCAACTGCAAGGTCACCAGTGAGTCTCAGCTAACACCCCAGAGCACTTGGCACCAAAGTCCAGGCTCATTCCCTCTTCAAAGAGTCCAAGTTTTAGAATTTTATTCATAGATTTCCATATTTTTATACACTGAAGTTAAGTCAGTTCTTGGTAGATGACTCCCTGATCCAGCCAGAAAGCTCGTCTGGGAAATGGTAATACTCCTTGTACCCATCAGAGGGGTTAGAGATGATGGGCCAGGAGCCTGACCTTTTTAACAAAGTCAAGAGCACAAGCCTTACACAGCTGTTACACCTAATGGAAAACCAGGCCAACATGCAAAACCAGCCAGGGGCAGACAGCACGACCTCCTGGACGCAGGGGTTGGCAAAGGCCGGCCCGAGGGCCAGACTCGCTCCCCGCCCGCCCCTCTGCGCAGCTCGGGGGTCACTGGAGCACGGCTTCGTTCATTTTTTACGTCCCCTCCCCAGCCGCTTCGGTGCCGCGAAGGCAGGGCGGGGAGTCACAGAGAGACCGTATGGCTCACAAAGCCTAACACATCTCTGTCCGCCCTTTACGGAGAGAGGTTGCCGACCCTTCTCCCAGGGGACCAGCGTCTGACAGGGTGGGCTGGCCTGTGGGGTCTCTCCGCACAAAGAAAACAACCCAGACTCATTTACTCTCCTCTTCGCTGGGTCTCTTCTCAGTCACCATTTGGAAAGTCAGGAGAATTACAGAAATGCTTCCTCAAGCCATAAACCACACCTAGTTGTTAAAGCAACTCAGAACGTCTAGAGAATTAAATCTTTGTGAAGACAGACGCCATTCGTCACGCTTGGAACCTGTTTACCTGCGTGGGGAAAGGGACCTGAATCCGCCCTTCCAAGATGTTGTCCGTTGTCACTTCCACGGAGCGGGTCAGCTGGAGGTCCTGCAGCACGAGCGGGTAGGGGACCTGGGGGAACATCTCCTGAATCTGGTGCGCCTGCAGGGACACAGACATGGAGACCACGGTCACGTCCACCCTTGGCAGGTGTGCCCTGAGGCCACGGTGCGGGCAGGCGGGCACTGAACCCGGCGTGCCGCCCTGGAAACCAAGGTGAAGGGCACTTCCGCTCTGCAGATCACCAGCCAGCCGGCCAGCTGCACGCCCTCCGTGTTCTCCCAGGACGCCGGACAGGTAACTCGGGACAACACAGATCGCAGACTAAGATGACCACGGAAGCTCGGCTGGATGCCAGACAGGCTCAGCCAGAATCGTCCAGGTTTCAAAAGTACACATTAACTGGAATATAAGTGTGTTCTTAAAAGCAATAATTCCAAAATGGAACTTCTGACACACACCACATGGATGAAATTCAAATGCGTTATGTGGGAGAAGCCTGACTCAAAATGCCATTCACAGGACACTCTGCAATGGGCAGAATGAGGGCGGTTGCCAGGGCGGGGGTGGGGCAGAGGGGATTCCCAAGGGGCACCACGGAATTTCGGGGTGCGGGCTGGAACTGGTCTCCACCTTGATGACGGTGGCAGTCACACAACTACATAAGTTTGACAAAACTCACAGAACTGGATACTAAAAAGGGGGAATTTACTATGTGTAAATACTTTCCTTTGAATAAAAAAGATGACGAAGAATGTGAACTGCTAGGATTGCCCTGGAGCCAGTTCTCCCACAGTCCACTTGGTGCTACAGGGTGGACGCGTGGAGGGGCGCATATGTGCTGGGGGGCGGGTGCAAGCCTCAGCAGACCACTACCCACAGTTCCCTCAAAGAGGCTCCAGATCACGTTTTCCGGGTCTGCGTATTTCTTTCACAGTGCTTACAATTGAGGTTCTATTTGTGGAAAAGTCCCAACGATCGAAAGACAAAGAAGAGAAGGGAGAACAGCAGCGTTAAGGGACAGTGAGGTCTGCGTGGGGACGGCAGCCCCTTGGAGCAGCCGTTAGAACCGTGCAAAGTGAGCCTCCACGTGGAGGCCGAGAAAAAGCTCTGCACACAGTCGCTGCTGGCGTGGGAGAGGGCCCAGGGCCCCCCAGTTCCTGGGACCCCTCGCTGTGCACATGAATGTGTGTGGGTCCCTTCTGCTCAGGTGCAAGCAAAGCAAACGGAGAAGAGGCCATAGACACCCCAACGGCCAGGTAACGTTCACCTCTGTCCCCCACAGCACACCCTCACTTCTGAAACAAAATGATGCCCAGGGTTCATTTGATTAGACCAAAGCTTTTCTTCCAGAAAGTCCAGTGAGTTAAGTATCGGACCTTTATGAACAATGCAAGATCCTAGTAAACCAGCCGTGCTAAAACCAGTGCATTGCACTCCATCACGGGCCTGGAGGGAAACCACCAGGGCCCCCGCCTGAGAGCCGCAGGCGCAGCAGTGCCGAGAATGTCCCTGCCTCTGGTGTTGGCAGGGAGGCAGGTGGGCTGCCCCACCCGCAGAGCCTCCATGGCTGCCGGAGCGAGTGCACACGGAGCAGCCGGAGGCGTGTGTGCAGCCCCTGCCCGCCGTGGCGTCACTGTCACTCCGCAGATGGCCCCATGCAGTGCGGCGTCACCGGATACTCCTCTGCAGGTTTGGAAACTCGTGAATAAATGACTTATTCAAAAAGGTTTGGAAAAATGCCGTCCGGACGCCGCAGCCCCATTGAGATGCCCCCGCTTCTGTGCCCCCCACTGTGACACACCTTCGGCCTCGTCTCTTCCTCCAGCCCCCACTCATGCTTCAGTCCGCACGGTCCCGTACACACCCCTCGGGCTGCGGAAACGGCTCGTTCCTCTCCAGCTAACGACCCCCCGGACTCCGCCAAGTCCCACACTGTTCCCTCCGAGCCTGAGCCCGACTCCCAAGAATTCCCACGGGCCCCTGTTGCGTCCTCCAAACCACGTCGCCCGGCTCCTCCCTCTCTACCCCCCTGTCCCCGCTCCCCATTTGCAAGCTGCTCTCTCTCCCTAGAAGAGCTCCAGGCCCTGGCTTTGACTGTCAGCAATGTGAATCACCAGCACGGTCCCTTCCAGGCTGCCCAGAATGGCCTCTGTGACGTGACATCTGCGGCTGTCTCCCGGACACCCCACCTGGACACTGAGCCCCCGTCCTGGCCCTGCTGCTCCCCACACCCCCATCCTGCCCATGGTGATATGCGGTCCCGCCACCCGCCTGCCTGCCTCCACTCCCGCACGCCCCTCAGCCCACGAACCCCCGCACCCAAAGCAAAGCCTCATCACGTCCTGTCAGCTCATCTTCTAAAAATACTGGGATCCGTCACTGCCTTTCATCTCTCTTGCACGCACCCAGTCCAAGCTGCTGGATTCTTCTGCCTGAACCACAGCGACGGCTTCCATTTTTGCCCCTTATCAGCCACTCTCCTCCCGGGAGCAAAACCATTCCATCGGTCCCCTGGGTGGGACAGAAAACCTTGCATGGCCTTCTAACACTTTCATTACAAAATTTAAACTGGACCATGGCCTGCAAGTCCCCACACGACCTGGCTCCATGACCTCAGTTTATGCCACAGTCTCGGTGCCCGACTTGCGGGGCCCCGGCCACAGTGGCCTCTGCCCACTGGGTCCCACAACTTTCCCACCTTGTGGCCTCTGCCCCTGGGTCCATTACTTCCCCCCACCCCATCGGCCTCCCCATCCCATCCTCCACATCTGTCTCGGCTTAAACACCGCCTCCTCTGGGGGACTGCCCAGAACACCCCCTCTGAACAGCCTTTACCCAGCCCCGGCCCCCCACTGCCCGCCCCCCGCCTCCACAGCACCAGCAGCACGATCTCCTTGGGTTCATAGTCAGTCTCCCCGAGGAGAACGGCACGTGTGCAGAGCAGGGCTCACACCGTCCTCGTCCACACGGCAGGTGCTGGGCACGCTGTCTGCACTGCACGTGCCCATCACGGGAGCTGCCTCCCGGTGTCGACCTGCTGACTAAACACACTAAGGTTAATGAGTGAGCGAGCAAACAGCCGACGACCTTCTCAGGTGGCCCTGGCCAGGGCCTGCTCCAGCAGGACTGACGTCCCCGGTGTGCCGACTCCCTGCATTCACTGTCACAACCAGCACTGAGCTTCTGCCACAAACACGTCTCTGCTACACTGCACAGTAAAAAATACACACCATATGGCAAAGCTTTAGAAAAAGACAAAGAACCTGGAAGTATCTGAACAATACGCTTAAGCTAACAGCATGCCTCAATGGCTCAAGGTGTATATGTGTGTGTGTGTGTGTGTGTGTGTATATTTGGGGAGGGAGAGGATGGGAGTCAAAAAAACCACACTGGTAGGCCTAGCACATTTTTTAATAAAAGGCATGTCATTCACTCCAGTCGATAATTTTCCTATTGTTGGCTATTATTTAGGAAATAATTATTTCCTGAGTAATATTTCCTATTTTAGCTATTTTGGGCTAAAGCTGGGAGAGTCCGAGATTGGCCTAGATCAGCAATTTTCAACCGGGTAAAAATCGCTGGCCTAGATCACGGCAGAATGAACCTACCAGCACCTAGAAAGGGTTGGCTTATCTGCCACACTATTAAAACAAAAGGTGGTTTCCAAATCATTTTTAAAATGTAAAACACAGGAATCTGAGCTATCCCAGCAGCAAGGAACCACGATGCCCCTAAGAGCCCAGCCATTCTCCCAGAGTGAGGTGCAGACCGACAGGCCCTCCCTGCGGTGCACGTGAGGTGGCGCCCCTCCCTCCCGAGTGTCGGCCGCGCCCCCCACCCCCACCCCGAGCAGCCGGTCCTTACCATCGCATTGAGCTGGGAGTTGCTCGCCTGCGTGATGCCGAGGATGTTGGTGGTGTGCATCACTTCGACCGAGAAACTGGGCAGCCAGCTCGCAATCCGGGACCCTGGGATGAGGAGACCCAGCACGCGTTTAGAGAGACCTCCTAATTTTTCTCTCCTTCTCAACGAGCGCGGGACATAAATGGGAGTGAGACGACCATCTCCAAGGGCTTGCCTGGCATAATGTACTCGTTAAAAAACTGGATGCTTACCTACTTACGGAATACCCAGTACACAATAATCCCTCAGCACTACCGACAGCTTCTGGACATTTTCGATTCGAACCGAAATACTGTATCACACTGGCCATACGGGGCAACTGAGAACTAGAACCGCATCAGCCCCCAGGCTGTGGTTTCAGTGACTAACGCCAACTAACCATCAAAGTGGAAGAAGTGATTGTGCTGGTTTAAGCGCGGTCGGCCTTCAGCAGCTGCAACGGGAACCAGATTCTCCTCCAAGTTCTCCCCTTGACGGTCCTCCCTGCCACGGTTACTGTCAGCAATGTTCAGGGACATCCTGCACGTCGGGCAGGAGGTGTCTTGTTCCAGCCAGGAGCGAAGGCAGGAGCTACAGGGAAGGTGGAGAAAGAGAGAGCCTTAGCCCAGTCTGTGGGAATTTACCGGGAGCGCTCGACTGTACCCAAAGTGCTGTAATTTTACTTTTATTGGCCATTCAGTGAGATTTCAACGTTGAGAAAGATCTGTTGACTTTACCTCTGCACCCTACTTCACTCTCCTATGCCCCTAGTAGGTCCAGCTGTGAACACGAATCCGTTTACATGGTCATCTACCAAGCTCCTGGCCATGACCTTCTGCCCAGGACTTCATCACATGGCTCACCATCTCCCTTTCCAGCTCCATCTGATCGGCTCCAACTCCCTGTGGCTGAAAGGTACCCTCTACTCCAAAGACCTCTCAGGCTACCAGAGCTGCCCGCTAACACCGTCTGCCTTGACCTTCTCTTCAAAGTCCCGTGGAGCACCACGGCCAGTCTGAGGTAATGTCCCCACTGCTGTGCTAGGGATCACCTTGAGCCCGGGCGCCACAAGCACCCGCGTGTCCTGGACGGAGCACCAGTGCCCAGTGCCCTCCCCAAAGCGCCTACTTGTGGAAAAGGTGTCCGCAGGGCAGCTTCCGGGCAGCCTGCATGGAGTCCCAGCAGATGGCACAGTCGTCGTTGTTGACCGCCAGCTCCTCTGGGGTGGCCACCGCGAACCTGTGAACAACAGAACGTGCCACTGGGGTCAGTTCCACAGACGCCATCAGAGCGCCACTTCAGCCATGTCACCTCCCCACCAGCACAGTTCAGAGGAATTCAGTAAAGTGGCCAACCATCAAAATCATCACACCTGCTTTCTCTTCATGGCCTATCAAAGAGCGAGCAAGGAATTTATACACAGACACTAAACTTTGTCTTAACGATGGCTCCTGTTAGTGACAAGGGAATGTCAGGCCAATCCGGGGCGTTAAGACCCCCAGAGAGCCAAGCAGTTCCCTGGGACACCAAAAGGATGCCCACTGATTTCACCCTTGCAGGCCTGGTTTAGCCTCAGACTGGCAAGTGAGTGCCTCCCTCGACGAGGTTAAGAGTGAGTGAGTGTGAGAGTGTGTGTGTATAAACACACATGTGTAAAGAATGAGTGAGACCCACCTTCTTAAAATAAAGAGGGCAGATGCCCAGGAAGCCTCCATATAACAACGGTGACGATACAAATGACATAATCATGGGAACCTAATACTGACTCAGCACATACCGTGTACGCAGCACCAGAATGCTCTAAGCTCCCGGCATGCGCTACCCCACTGAACCCCGCCAACGGTGCCAGGAGGAAGGCTCTGCTGCCGCCCCCAGAGAGGGCGCAGCTGGGGCCCTGAGAGCTGAGGGCATGGCCCACGGCCACCATGAGGTGGGGCTCACTCCCAGGCAGCCCGGCTCCAGAGCCTCCCTCTTCACCACTCCGTTACTGGGTCACGAAAGCAAGCCCTCATATAATCTGCAATCTGTCATTATTAAAGATCCAAAACGAGTCAACTTGGTTAAGGTGAAAAAGGAAAAAAAAATATGGTAAAATAGATACATAAATAAGATGAGCCAACCTGGGCGACGCGGACCTGTGCTCACTCACCTGGCCTCCATGTTCCCAACGACATGCAAGTAGTTCTTGTGCCGGCGGATCCGACGCTGCACCTCATGGAACAGGTAACGCAGCTGCATGAAGATGACCAGGCTGGCCATGGACAACCAGATGTTGCCAAATAACTGAACGAGGGGGAGAGAGAACAGAACAGGCCATGAGAACGAACGGGAGCCCCCTGGTGGTGAAGGCGAGGGGTGCAGCAGAAGCTCCTCACTGTAGCTGAGCTGACCAGTGGCCCTGTGCCCACCGCCAGCCCAATCAGGGTGCCTGCTCTCGGGCCTAGTCACCCCATCACCAGGAGTCACTCCCGAGGCACCAACCAGAAATGTAAAAGCTTTGTGCAGAAAGATGTACATCCACAGAGAACCAGGAAAACAGAGAACCAGGAAACCAGCAAAATGCTCAGTAGGGGAATAATGAGGTTGTAAACTCATGTGTACAATATGGTACAGATACTAATTATACTTACTATACTACATGGTCCTATTATATTTTATGCATAACATTTCTGAAGGTCAGATATAAGGGAAAAGAATACTTAAGTGAAAAAGCAAGCTAAAACTACCTTAAGAAAACCAGTATGTGATTAAAAAATCATGTAAAGGTGAGATCTCACTAACACCTGAATGCAACCTCAATGCCCCCCTGTTCGGGTCGGTGAGTTAGATCATCACACGTCTACATGACTGACATTTTATCTGGATGGTGTTAAAAGAGTTAAGAACAGTTACTAGCATAGGAAAATGCTCATAATACATTAACCAAAAAAGCTATACATGGTTTTTTTAAAGTATGTGTTCAAAGCTGCTTTCAAAGGTCTTTAGAAATGTGCTATGCCTAAACCGACTCTTAAACACTACTTTGACAGGCTTATAATCTAAATAAAGTGCCCACCAAGGATGCTGATTCTCTCCATTACGAGATCACGGAGCATTCACCAATGAAGGTGGTACTCAACGGTGCAATCTCTTGCACACCAGGGTAAAACGTAAACAGTGAAGTGGGAGGAGTTAAGAATAGGGGCATTGTTTTTAACTACAAAGACGGAAAACTTAGGAGCCCATGAAGTAGCTTACTCTGCCAGAATTCCCTTCACCGTCTATAAAGTAACCACTAAGTAACAGAAGCCACAAGAAACTACAGGGAGAAGAATCCCCTTCCCTTTATGCCAAAGGCATCAGCTGTTGACTCAGCCAGCAGATTAACTAGGTCTCCCAGGAGCTTCAGCGAACTCCTGAGCCGAAATGCCTCCAGGTTGCTGCTTGGCACCCAGCGGCAAGATGAGGGGTGGGCACAGCTGTGTTCATCTGTGTGGTCTTAAGGTGCTTCCTCCCCCGACATTTCACCTGTCGGTGCACTGACCAGGTCCTGCCTCTGAGTGACCAGCTCCCTCGGGGGAGGCTCACCAGCATGTGGACATGGTGTACGAGGTCCAGGGACAGGAGCGTGAGCTCCATGACGAAGTCCGTGTAGTAGACGCATGTCCCCTTCCCTTCCCACGTGCCTTCGTGACTGAGGTCCCAAAGGTGGATGACGTATCTGCAACAAATCCAGAAAAATCGTCTTCGTGGTTTTGGTTACAGTTGAATTTGGTTTAAGCACAGTATAGAGTAGTCACACGTTTATGTACCTTATACTTGTTACATCTTAAACTCGACTGTATAAACAGACCTCAGTCGCCACCCTCCGATTGCTACTCACCGTAAAATCACATGAGCAGTCCTCACGGTGACGAGAAGAGACTGTAAAACAGATATTTTTTTTTCTTTTTAGTAAAATTTAGGACTCCTCAGGCCAAACTGACTTTACATAAAGTCAAACATCTCTCTGTTCAAGTTAAGAGCACCCTGTCCAACAGGGGGACTGGATGACGGTGGTCAGAAGGAACCAACTTCCAGGTGTAAGTTACATAAGCACGGGGGACACAGTGTCCACTGTTATGACGACAGTTGACACTGCTCAAAGAGAATAGCCCCTAAAAGTTCTCACCATGAGGAAAAAAATCTTTTGTATGGATAGAGAGGATGTGCGCTAACAAAACTTATTAAGATAGTCATTCCACAGTACACAGAAGCCAAGAAGTCCCTTGGCTCTGTCGTTCACCTTGAACTCACGCATGGCTGCACGGCAATGCCGTCTCAGCAAAACCAACCATTTCCCTTCATCTGCTTCAGGTTCCCGGGGACTGCGTGCAGGATCCAGCGACCCGACTTTTACTGAGCCCCTTTCTACTGACAGGTGACAATCGTGCACACCGGTCCCTGTCCCGAGGACGCCTTCTACTGTCTGGAGAGTCCTTCCAGTCGTGTGGCGACCACTTCTACTTCACACGGCGTTAAGGGACCACGACTGACTACCTGGGACGGTGTTTTGCGATACTCGTGCAGCAGCGCGGACACTGCTGACCCAGACGGGGGCTGATCCCCACACAACGCTGTGTGCGCGCCCTTGGCCCACACGGAAGAGAAGAGAACAAAGGAAATCAAGAACAAAATAAACCCCCGTAGCGTTTTGTATTATCAAAATTGATACCAAGAACATTTTCCTCCTAACTTACCAGAACAGAACTGTTAAATTATTTATGTTTGAGATTAGGAAACTTTCAGTTATAAATGGAAAATATTTTATCACATATGGAAGAGAAACACCACACGTATAAAAATATAATTTACCTCAAAATAGCAAATCCATAACACGATAAACTATCTTAAGAGAATACACAGTAACAAACTAAAATAAAAATATAGTATGTACTATATAGTATGACCTAATAGACCTAATTTAAATGTCTACCCTTTTCAGAGTTTGGCCTAATATTAAAAATTAGATAACCAAAAAAGAAAAACATGGTATTATTCAAATGATGGTTTATATAAAACATATCCAAAATAAACTAATCAATACTAGTCAGTGTAAATAAAGTTTTAGACAGATGTTTTTCAAGAGGAAATACAGTTGTATACTTTTCACATACAGAAAAGGTATTCAACAAAAGCTGGAAATGTTTTTACCATGTACTTTAATGTTCCTTTTCTAATTTCACTTACACTACTATATTATACTCTGAAATGAATGCTATTAATCAAAGTAAAGTTTAACCCTATTCTAACAAGTTCCCAGTTCAAATTAGTTGATATTAGCTAATCAGCTTTAATGTATTCACTAATATATTGAACTGATATATTTTTTTCACTCATAATACCACTTATGGGCAAGATGAATATATTCTGTCTTTGGCCTGAGCAAAATGGCGAAGTCGCTGAATATAAGAACACACAGAAAATTTTGACTTCTACTGAATAGAAACTGATATTTTCAGAAAGGTTTAAAAAGTAAATTTTAAAGCATATGTGAAATCAAAGTATTCTTTGAAAATAATGGATAAGGTTTACATATTGTTATCCTCTGAAACCCTACCTCAAGCCCCATCTGAAAGCCCGCGCACAGAGCACTGCACACCCTGCCAGGACCCTGCGGGACACCATCCGCCCTGGGAGCCGCTGGGCACGGGCTGCACCACCGGACGGTCGGGCACCTTCAGCCGCTCACTTTACCCTCCCGCACCTGTTCCCTGCCCCCCATTCGCGAACAGAATAAAACGAGTAAATACGTGTACAAGTGGGTCGACACAGGCATTTAGAATAATTCCTAGTATTTAGCAGCAATACTTAAATGATGGCAGCAATAACCACTTTTAATCACTTTCCTATACAGCAAGGATGACACGGAGTCACACGCATGGAGGCCGCCTTCAGTACCAGGACCCAACACGAAGCAGAACTCAGAACGTGCTTGTTAAACTGAAAGACCAGATACCCGTCGGCCACTTCCCGGGAGGGAACGGCCTGTCGACACTCCCCTTGTGTCCTTGAAAAGACTCAGAGATGAAGCCGGAGCAAAGCCCAGGGCACCGCTTACCTCTGCCGCCATGAAGGCCAGCGTGTGCATCCCGTGGGAGTAGCCCGTGACGCAGCGGGCCACCGCCAGCCCGCAGCAGGACAGCAGCATCGCGACCAGCAGGGACAGGACTCGGCAGTGGCTGCTCATCGGGGTGGTGGGGGAGAAAGAGAGCTGCAAGGCACAGAACGGGGAGGGAAGGTCAGCCTTCGTCCCGGCAGTGGTGGACTTCGATGCGAAACCCAAGGGTAAGCTTGGTGGCTTTGCTCGGGGGTCTGTTTACCAAATGCAAAGCACAGAGAAGCAGCCCACTGCCAGATGGCCAAAATTCCCCACCCAGCCTAAACACGAGTAGGAGCTGACACAAAGAGATCTTCAGCATTTAATCTACTGACAACATATACATTACATTTTCATCTCAAATTCTCAAGGGTCTTCCTACCAGTGGGATTATAAGTCTCCAGAAGCAATTTTCCAGAGGTATGTCATTCCTGTAGCCTTCAACGGGACTTGGGACAGCACCGCGTCCTGCTGGCTCTTTCCTGACCTTGCTCTAAGCCCTCCTCCCCCGAATCCACTTGGAGGACGTTCCCAGACTGTCAGGGCTCAGACAACTGACGTGTAACCCAGGTGCAGATCTGCCACTGTTATAATGCAACGTTAACAACATGCAAGGAGAGGCAACGGCTTGGAAAAGAAGGCCTGGAGCTATGGCTCCTGAGCAGGAAGGTGTCTAACTGGACAGCAAAGCAGTTAGAGAGGTCAGAAGCTCCTGTTCCTGACCTTGAGTGGGGGGTCAACTGTGAGAACGCTATAAAGACTCTGAGGCCGAAATGAATTCATGCAGAGGTCAAGAGCCCCTGGCCCATGATCACTGGGTAAAGAAGGAACAAACTCGGCCATGGAGTGGGTGTAACGGCAGGGCAGAACCGCAGGGTTACCCAGGCTCCATGGAATGAGTTTGGGGGCACTCAGGAGTGAGGGTGCACTCGCGCAGCCCTGATCTGAAGCCAAGAGGCAGGTCTTGTGCCCAGATGGAAAAGGATTCCCTTCTGGGACCAAGGAGACCAGAGAGCTAATTCTGTCCTTGCCCGGGGTGGAAACAGTGCAAACCGATCAGAAAGCAGAGCTCCAAAAAACAGAGGAAGAGGGGAGAAAGTGGAGGGAGATTCCAAGAGGAAATATCTGGAAGAGACCAACTTTTACTCCATTTACATATTAAGATTTCTTACACTGTGATCGAAACAGTTGGTGCAGGTGAATTAACCCCGTGAGTTGCAACAGAACGGAAGGTCGGGTAGGAGGAGCCCCCCCAAACCAGGAGGCTCTGGTTCTGTGCGCTCCCCGGATGCTGCAGAAAGTGCCTCCCCACTGGCAGCGGGGACCCGATGCAGGAGGCTTCCTCTCCGGCCCTCCCCCGACACGCGTGTGGCAGCCCGTGAAGACGCCCCAGAACATAGACCTGGCCGATGCGTGACACGGCGAGCAAAGAGCTGGGCTGGGACTCACGTATTCGAACCGGTCCTTGCAGAGCTGCACCATCAGATGCAGGAACACCAGCCCGGCGAACCAGAGGCACCACATGACCACCTCTTCCACGGTCTGCACGTTCAGCACGCCGAAAATGAAAATGAACTTGTAGAAAATAAAATTCCAAAACTTGTCTTTGAGGTGCTAGAAAGAGAAACGTTGGCGAAGGTCAGTACGGCCACACCTAACCCGTGTAAGGGATGCTCACGTAACAAGAGCTGGGTCCTGTGGAGAACACGCTTGGTACTCAGCTCTAACACGCAACCCCAAGAAAAGCAAAGCAAAGGAAAAACTGAGCCCCCTGAAGAACAGAGGTAAGACCCCCAGAAAGGAGTCTGCAGGCCATGGGTTGTCATTCTAAGTCACCAAAGGGATGTTAGCCTTCGACAGGGGGTGACAGTAGTCCGGCACCTTATGAATTAAATGATACATGTAACGCCCAACACAAAATGCAAAAGAATGGTGAGGGCTGCAAGTACCCTTTTCACGTCTGCTCTCTGGATTTTAAAACAAATAGAAAAGATTAGACTTTTTAAAACACCCTCCAGATTAAAAAGTAATATATAACTCATCGGGCAGCCCACAATCAATGGAAGTATAAAAACACGCACAACAAAAATGACGCCCCAACTTTTCTGTGCAGTTTGCATATCTTCTCCCTGTGTGCACAGCGTTTTCCATGCACTGCACTGATCACACTGTAAGCCCCTCACCAAGGTCTGTGAACATTCTCTGAACGTATCGTTTTAGTGGTTACTGATGGGCCCTGACACTGTTTAGTTTTTCACCCTTTGGAAAACATCGCCGAGCCCGTATCTCTGTATGAGTCTCCGCGTCTCCGGCATCACAGGGCGTCCACCCCCCTCCGAAGAAGCAGTGTCGGTGCCCACCACATGCCCAGTGTCTCTCTGCGTCCCCGGCCCCTCCCTGCACCGAGGGCTTCCAGTTCTGAAGGCTTTGCTGCACTGGAAAAGCACACGAGGGGCGTCTAGCCGACGCGCTCAGGCCGTCTGTGGCCGTGGTGGGACAAAAACGTGACTTCCAATCTGCTGTGTGACTTTACGTCCCCAGGCTTGGAGTCCCCACCTATAAAGTGGGTCTTTCAACAGTGGCTTACAGCTCACGGAATCATTGGGGGAATTAAAAAAGGCAACACGCGGACCACGTGTAGGCACGTGCCCTAATAGGCATTAAATGCTTTAAAAAATGCCTGGTCCGGAACCTTACTTCACAGTTTATTTAATATTTGCTCCATTTTAGGTCATCAACGTCTTTGCCTCGAGCACCCACAGAGCAAACCCACGTCAGTGCTACTGAGTCCCAATTCAGAGCGGTGCTGACTAGGTGCCACCAGATGACGGCATTAGCCCCAAAGTCACCGGGGGACAGCATGAGAAACGATCTCTACGCTGAAGCAGCCGAACACAGTGCTGAGCAGCAGATGTGCCCTCAGGATTCCCTCCAGGTCTCATAAAAATCTCTGGAACACTCTGAGGCTGTTTTCTGTAAATTTCCAACTGATACTTAACATTTAGAAAAAGAAGGCCGTAGGCCCACCAGGGCCAGCGCAATCCATCAGCAATTGGATGGCTTGCCCAACCCGACCAATTTCTGGCCTGCAAATCAAAAGTTCTTCCTGACGAAGAAAGAAGCCTCTACATACGGACCATCCCATCAGGGGGCGACTCTGGAGTGGCTGTTTCGGAGAAGGCGACAGTGCTGGGAAACGCCTCTGGGAAACAATTCTGCTCAGAGCAGCACCGGAGAAGTCCACCGCCACAGCAACTGCCCTCAGCCCTGAACCGGGACCACGGCTGATCTGAGAGCAGAGTCGGGCTGAAAGGGCAAGTGAGGGTAAAGCCACGGCTACACTTTTGATGGAGTAGGCTCCTGCGTCTTAGCACTGAGCCAAGAGAAAGTGAAATATAGTTTTGTTTATAAGTTGTTGTTTTAAAGTCCCGTTTTAAATTCTTATTTTAACATGCACCATCCTATACTCTATCCGCTAAAATCTTTGGGGAACGGCCAATCTACGCGGGATCTCGCAACACAATTCTTCACTGAGAGTACGTCCCACTCACCCAGGCCTTCTGAGAACAATGTTCAATCGGACTATCTCCCCTAAAAACAGAAGAAATGACCTAGTTTCCTGCTTGAAGAATAACCCTAATTTACTTTGCCAAAGGGGAAAAATTAAAATCTCTCAGTGAATTCCTTTGGAATAGAATCCATATTCTAAATAGCGATATTTCTGATCATTCAAACTGAAATCTGTGCTTCTTTAAAAACTACGGTCCTGTGAGTTGCAGGGAAAATAGCTATAAAGGGCGATATTGGGGCAACCTGAGTACCTTGAATACAGACTGGGGGTTACATGAGACACTGTGTCAATGCCGAATTTCCTGATTTTGACCTTTGTGCTGTGGTGGTGCAAGAAAGTGTCCTTGCTCTTAGGAAATAAGTACTGAAAAAAATCTTTAAAAGAAAATAAGAAACACATACTGAAGTATTTGGAGGTAAAGTGCTGTGACGTCCACAAGTTGCTCTCAAACAGATCAGAAAAAATAAGTCCGTATAAAACAACAGGCAAATGTTAAATGGGATAAAATGTTAACTATGAATCAGTTCCTTCATGGCAGTCACGCAACTTTTCTGCAAATCTGAAATTACATCAACTGTGAAGTTAAAAAAATAAACCCTGACAGCAAGACCCGTGGCCTGGACTCACCTGCCTCTCGCTCACACGCAGAGGGCCGAACACCACGCACTGGATCAGCTTGGCCACCAGCATCAAGACGCAGCAGGCGGTGTTGACGAGGACCTGCACGCAGACCAGAGAGAGTGTGTATGTCCTCCCGTTGAAAATGAGAGCGGCCCCAGGACTTGGTATGAGGCCTTCACCCATCATGTCCAACGACAGAGCCGTTCCAGTTCTCTGCCGGCACGGGAAAGGGAATATTCAAACGTCACCTTTCCTAAGCACACACTTCCACAAGGCGGTGTGGGGAGGGACAAGGTGAGCGGGAGAGAGGTGCCCACACGCACCCCCTAGCCAGCCGCGTGCCCCTTCACTCTTACCAAACTACATGTAAACTTTGCCGTGTATGTAAAAATGCATGTACCTTTAAACCGTAGCTATCTCCCAGGTATAGCATTTCCTATGTTAGGATTTTGAAAGTCTCAAAGAAAAGTTTTCCAGAACATGAAGTTGTGTTGTTGTCATGAACAGTAAAGTCCAGCAGGCAAACATCCTGCCCTGCCCTGTCTAACCAAGAACACGAAGAACTGAGACCAAAATATCTATGTGTCTCTTACAATACATTGTAATGGGACGATCGGCCAGCCCAAAGGTACTCTCTGCTTGGTGTCGGCCTTGAAGGAAAGTCTCTGGGACACGAGGGGAGAAACCAGAAAGAAGGAAGAAGAAAACTGGCCTGAGGGGCCCAGAACGGAAAGGCAACCATGAGACACCCATGCGGAACCAAGGCCTCCTCCTTCAACCGGAGCGGGGCTGCCTCGCTGTTTTTTACCGTAATTAGAGATGGACAGCCTCACATCAAAACAAATCTAATTGGTTAGATTACAAGGAAAGAGTGGGCTGGCCCGACCACAAGGCTAGTGTGTGGCGCAACCCATTACCGATGCTCAAATGACTGTACAGCACCGCGCGACGCGGAAAAAGCCAAAGGACCTGGACGCAGGCAGCAGAGAGGACATGCAGCAGAGCAGAGGAAAACAAACGCCAACTCAGTGCTTCCCTCTTCGATTCACTACGGTTACCTGAACTTGGTCATAGTCTCTTCCCAGGGCACTCTCCCCTCTACTTTGAAAAGAAGCAAGTAAGTTTCTTTTAAAAATAAAAGGAGGTGAAAAAGAAGAGCTAGAAGAGAACATAAGGCAGTGGACTAAGAACTCATCAGGTTTCCCTTAGTGGGTCCCACGGCCTGCCCTCAGACAGAACAGCCCTGATTCATTAAAAAGGGATTAAATCATGTTTACCTCTAGTCTGCCTGCCTAATGGGGCAAGGAAGTGTGTGCATATTTTTAAAGAACCGAAACAAAAATAGTTCTGCTGAAAAAAGAAACTGTTCTGGTAATTATATCCAAATAACCAGGGGGAAAAAAATCCCAAATTAGTTATCTGAAGCACCTAGATCCCTCACTTAGGGCTCCCAGCGGAACAGGCCCAGGCCACACATCCAACACATGGCTTAGAAGCCTCATCTTTAAGGAGCTGACGGTAAAAAGGCTCATATCCTGTGCTTCTAACCCGTCAATGGAAACCTCGTCCTGTTAATTAAGAAAATCAGCCCTAAGACAAAACCACAACCCCAGCCCCTCAGGGCACATCTCCTGGCTGAACAGGGTTTTGAAAATGAGCCAAACACTCCCCAATTTAACTAAAAAAGAACTCTTCCTGTTTTTGCACATAGGCATATGAAATAAAGAAATAAATGCAACACATTTAGCACCTACACTCGGAGAGCTATGAGATCACGAGACACAGAACTTAGGAAACATCCAGCAGAACAAGCAGGCTGCTGTTGGAGCAAAGAAGGAGAGACATCGAATTTAGGATTGCTTAGTAACTCTTCTATCCAAAACAGCATTCCCGAACATCTTGGACTACAAAACAAAAATGAAAGTATTATTGGCTATTTCTCAGTTAAACTTTTACTTAAAAGTTTTTCCGGATTCAAAAATAAGGTGTAAAAATTTTGTACCTTTGATTTACAAAAAAAAAAAAAAGCCCAAAACAAAGGCCCTCATAAATCCTATCACCCACATGTAACCATTTCTACTTCAATCTAAATAAGAGAGTTAAATAGTAGCCAGGGTAAGAAGTGTGGGCCCTGAGAAAGAAGACACCTACTAAGAAGGGGTGAGGGAGGCTAACTGGGCTCAGATGTAGGAGAACCTAGCAGTCATTTCTGCACAGGAGCCTCTCACCCCAAGATGCATGTCAGGGAGAAGCCTGCGCCAAGCTGCTTGCCTGCACCATGTTCCTGCGCAGAAGGAGGTCTAGAATTGTGTTTTCACCCATAGGGCTGAGGCATTCCCCCTCTAATCTGAGCTGCTAAGCTATGTCCCCATCAGCATCTTTACCGATCAATCACAGCAGCTCCGTTCTGACCAGTCAGGACAGTGTCTTCTGGGCCAATCAAACTGTGAAGATTTGGAGTCCTCATTTGCATGAGGATGGAAAGGCAGCTCCCATCCGGCTCAGGGAGCTCGTTTTTTCTCTTTCCACTAAAGAGGGAAGCTCTGCTTCCCTGCCTGGGGCTGGAACACTCCAGACGTCTCCGCAGAGCACAGTGGAGCAGGCCCATAGGCGAACCAGAGCAGGAAGAACAGACCAGGATGGAGCAGAGCTGTGTGCAGGAAAAAGGGCCCTGGCTGGTGTAGCACAGTGGACTGAGTGCAGGCCTATGAACCAAGGGGTTGAGGGTTCGATTCCCAGTCCAAGGCACATGCCTGGGTTGCAGGGAAAGCCCCCAGTAAGGGGTGTGTGAGATATAACCACCCACTGATGTTTCTCTCCCTCTCTTTCTCCTTCCTGTCCCCTTTCTCTAAAAGTAAATAAATAAATAAAATCTTTAAAAAAAATAAAAATTTTAAAAAACCTCAATAATTATTTATTCTATGCCTATTTATAGAAAAAAATGTCTCCACTGCACAAATATTGTGTCATTGCAATGAGGACATGATAAATTCTCAACTTCGAAATCGACAAAGGCTTGAAAAACTGCAAATATGGAAAGAAACATCATTTTTGCATTCCTCGCTTAAAAGCAAATCCCAAATCGGATCCCATTAGGTCGCCAGTGATCTTCTTCCAGAAAAACGACACCTCTGCCGAGATTCGGATCCCTAGAACCAGGACAAACCTCCCTACCTCGGCTGACCAGGAGGAGGCCACTCCCACAGGCCAGGTCTGCACCAGCCCTTTGTCCACGCCGAGCACAGCACAGGCACCAACCACATTCCCTCGGCGCCATACAGCCGACTGACTTCTCCCCGTGGGCAGATTCCACTCTTTAATGTAAGTGGCTGTACGTATCAGGGTGCACTGGCGCTGTGTTCATAATAGCAGAAAAATGGAAAACTATTGCCCATTTTTCTGCTAATGAAGCAGAAGGGGGAGACACATTCAACAAAGGGACACAAAGGAACCAGGAAAACTAACCTGGCAGCCCCATATTCACTAGTGTTGTATGGAACCTTCAAAATAACTTGTTCACTTAAAAAAGACAAGCGTGGAAATGCGATTGTTCTGCTACTCACTGTGCAAGGGGACGGTGTACACATGCGCATTTGTGTGACAGGTGGAGGTGAACGGCGCCCAGCGCCTGGCCAGCCTTGACCTTCCACTTAACATCGGCGCTGGTTACGAGGGGACAGTGATGGTTCCTCCTTGCAGAGGGAGACGGGGCGCAGGGAGATGGGGACACATACTTTTCACTGTGTATCGCTTCAGTGCTTTTCAACTTTTGCACCCTAAAAATGCACTATGTTATTTTTTTGAAGTTTAGATTCCATTCACTCATCTGACCAGTTCCGAAATTCCACATTGTTTTTTCTCACTGTGGGAGAGGAGACCGAGGAGTAACCAACCAAAACGGGGTGGCCTACGTCACGGGTTAATGTTGTAAAACACAGGGTATTTCTACTCTTTAAGAAAACTTTCTCAAATCTGTAACACTGTAAAAAAAATAATAAAACCTTTACGTCGTATTTTTTTTAAAACCTCACCAAGTGCCGTTAATTTTTATTAGTCTGCACGAAGGAAAAACAAGCCCCCGTGCAGCCCGGAACAGAACAGGTCGTACTGATTCAAGGAAACCCGGCATCGTCAGGCGCCTGGGCCTTCGCTCTGAGGCCCCTAGACAAAACCCCCTCCCAAAACAGTTCCACCATTCGGCCTGAGAAAACAGAAACTAAATGACGAGATAGGTGGGCCTGCAAGGAAAAGGAGAAGAGGCTTGGTAACAAACGGCTCAGCCACGGTGATCACTGTGTGACCCTACAGGTAGTTTTGATCCTGCAACACGCAGGCCGCCAAGGGGCGTTATTTATGAGCTGGGGGTGAAATGTGGCTGAACCACCAGGAACTGCTGCGGAGAACAGGATGCGGAAGGCTATTGGTCTCCCACTTCGCACTAACACACCATTTGTCTGTCTCCTCTCTTTGAGAACAACTGCAACGCATGGCCCCCCGAGGGCTGACAGGGACAAAATGGCAATAAAATACAAAGAGGCACTCTTCCGGGTATTCCGGGGGCAGGGAAGCAAGATGACCACGGGACAGGACGCACAGACACAAAGCCCTGGGCACAAGTCTAGCAGCGATCAAAGGGCAGCCAGCCTACCTCCCCTGCACCGGAAGGAAGACTTTCCCTTTGTTTTTAAGTCGTTTCGTGAGGCTTACATCCTATTTACCAGTTTCGCCTTCCTCTTCAGCTGCCCCAGTGTTTATGGGGCTAACATTTTCCTCTAATTTCCTCTGGAATGTGCAATCATACAGACTCAAGCCCAGCACATCACTTTCACTTCTGAAGTTGTAAAAGGAGGGTGCAGATGGGCTCTTTAAGGCAGAGTCAGCAGCGGGTCCTCCAGTGGGCGATCGGTCGGTAACCATGTGGGGCCACACGCTCTGCCACAGATTCCTCCCTTAAAAATGTGAAACCAGCACGAGTTGACAATGTACAAAAACAGGCTGGGCCTGATGGGCCGCCACAGCTCGCCAATCTCGGCTCTGAATAAATGGGCAGCTCACTTTTATCCATTTTTGTTTCTGGTGATTTTTTCCCCCTTGAAATGTCTATTGAAATTATTTGATTTGCATATAATTAAGTCAGAACTTTAACACTTGTTTCATATTTCTGTTTCTCCATTTTACCACGTCCTCTCACAACTTTAGAGGTGAGTACATACAAAAAAAGGAAGAGAGAAAGAGAAGAAAGTAACAAAAATAATGAGTAAGAATAAAGAAATGAAAGTCAAAACATATCAACAGTTTAAAACCATAATGGAATGAATCAAGAGGTGCTTTAATGGAAGTGACAGCTGAGAAAAATGTAAAATAAGGCTAGAAATGAAGAACAAATGAAACCTAATCTGGAATGAAACTTCCAGAAAGTTCTAGAAAGACAGGAGAGAATAAGTGATCATACCAAGGCTGAGTGTTTGTTAGTGTAAGGACCCTGGCGCCTCCTCTTCAACCTAGTCTCCGCGTCCACACTCAGAGAGCCCCCTGGCATGACTTCCTCGGAGGGAAGAGGTTTGAAGTCACTACATCTCCTGGCCTGCTTCCATTCTACACAAATCCATCTTCCCCACTGCTGCCATAGACCGTCCCCCGAAAAAAACACGTCATCAAGACAGCCCCTCCTCCCCTCCACTCCTGCTTTAACCCTAGGGCACAGAAAATCACGCCCACACCCCTGAGCACAGCAGGCTAGGTGTACATAATCGGGCATTAGCCCCACACCCCATCCTCTCCCTCATCAGCTTCTCCACCATTCGCGCACCTAAGACCGCCTTGGACATTAATCAAAACGAGGATTCCAAGGCTCCATCCTTCTCCCTGAAACTGACCCCCAGGTAGAGCCTGAGAAACTGCATTTCACAAGTGCCCCAAGTGAAAATGAACCAGGTCGCAGGAGGTCCACACTTTGAGAAGCATCCCTTCAGAGCGGTTGCCTGCCCCTCCCCTTCTCTCACAGGGCAGGGCCACTGCCCCTACCTCCTTAGTCTCCTGTTCACCTTCCCAGCCTCGCTCTGGAATCACAGGGTCGGCCAGTTCAATTTCCCCACTGGGTTATGGACCTCTCTGCACCTGCAGTCCCCGCACGGGTCTCAGGCAGGTTTCTCTACCTGGAATAGCCCAAGGCTGGGTTCAAATGCCCCCTTCCAGGTATCCCTCCCTAGCATCCGTTCCTCCTTCCTCCACACCCCGCTGTTTTCTTGATAGATATGTCTATTACCACTTACCAAATGTCACCTTGGATTGCTTTGGAGGGGATGGGGGAAATGTTCACAGCTATGCCCTCCAGAGTGCTTCACATAGTACATGAGAAAGGTATGAAGTTGAGCCTATTCATGGTAAACCCCTGCGATGCCCCCAGACCACATGGATCCACAATGTGCTCTACGAAGATACGTTTTAGAGGTTCCCGTTGTCAAACAATAGCCAGCAGGGTCTGCCCTCCTGCAGAAGGATCCATTTTTGTTTTGCCTTGCCTGGCTCTTAAAAATGGAATCCGAATGTCTTTGGGCAGGGGACAAAAAGGATTCACTTCGACCAAAGGTCAAGGCTGCGCCTCCCTCCGAGGAGGACGCTTTGAGACCCTGACCGCTGCTCAGCAGAAGCCATGACGGCGGTGAGGAAAACCAGCAGTTGGCACACAGAGAGGGTCTGAGGAACCCGGGCAGGCCCAGTGAGAATCCGAAAATCAGAGGGACGGTGGAAAAAAAATACAGTAAGATCAACTGAGAAAGGAAAAGTGTATCAACAGATAGAAAGAAATGATACACCTGCAAGAGCAAGATCGTTATTGAAAACACTAAGAACATCTTTCCTAAAAGTACTAATTTTCACAGAAAAAAAAATTTTAAACAGGCTTTGTTTGTTTCATGAAGAGGTGTGCTAGTTAACTTTGAAATTTGAACATGGGTTTTGTTTTAAAAAATTTTAAAAATGCCTCCTAGGGGGTGGAAAATCATTAAAGAATACTAGCACTCGTTATATAAATACCATAGTGGTTCCTTTTCAAAGCTTTAGTTATAGCCTATACTTCAAAATATATACCAAAAGCCATAATCTAACATTTGGCAAAAGCACTCTTCCCAACTTTGTTTACCTGCTAACTCAATGCAAAACGAGATTTGAAATGAAGAGACGTGAGTGGACCTGGTGGTCAGCCCCACACAGAAGTGTAAGAATGGAACTCCACCTCCCGCTGCCTGCCTTCCACTAATCTCTTCATCAGAAGGACCCGGGACACTTAATCCATGGCCCCACAGAGTTCACAAATCCCTCCGCTTCCTGATGAAGCACAATGGGATTAATTACAACAAATGAGTTGCATATCATCTATACACTTGGAATATTAATCTCAGTCATTTACAGCCTGTTCTCAACCCCAAATGGGAACCTGCAAATGGAGACAAGACCCAAGATGCCACAGTAAACCCAGGCGACAGACTTCAAACCTGGAGCAAGTATGCTGATCACTGAGGGATTTATGTAAGAGGCATTCAAGGCCAGGGCGGAAACAATTCTTTAGCCAAAATAACTGTTGATCTGCCCAGCCTGAAATTATCTATTGTAATAAGCGAAACCAGCCTTTCTGCCTGGTAGAGGGTGATTGTCGGGCACTGGCAGACGCCTTTGGAAACGCTGTCTTAAAGTGCAGCACTAAAGGGAGAAATCCCGAGTTGAAAGGGTGAACTGTCTCCGGACTGGCAGTGTTGCTGTCTTCAGACATCAACGGAAATGATCGTGAATCATCAGGTAAAAGCAACAGGAAAGGAAGGTAGGCCTGTCTGACCCAAATAGGGCAATCCCAGACTAAGTGGCAACAACAACAAAAAGTTGTAGGGGACCGCCTCTCTCCGAACAGGAGCGTCCACACACACCCAAATGCCCCCAAGTCCCCACACTCAAAGCCCAAGCCCGGCCTGGCCCCTCCTCCTCCCTGACCCCGCTTGCCGCAGCCCCATGCACCGCGCCTACCCCGGCCCACCGACTAGGAAAAGCCTCTGGACTTCTTTCCAGGATTCATTGGAAGACCCGGTAACTGGCTCCCCGAGCCCACTCCCCTGTGGGGACTCCTGCTCTTTGGGGTCTTCCGGTTCCCTCCCCAAGGTCCTTCAGCAACCTCCTCCTCTTACTCTCCCCAACACGGCTCCCGTCCCCCGGGTCCTAGCGGTGACCCCTGCTTCCCGACCCCTTCCTCCAGCCTTCGGCCTTGGGGACGCCCCTCCTCAAGACACCCCTGATCTCCTCCCCGCCACCCTCCACCCCAACCTCACCGTCTCCCTCGGCAGGGCGCCCCTGGACCCCGTACCGCACTCGGTGGTCCGGGCAGAGGGTGCTTTTGCCCCAGCCACGCCCCCCGCCCCCCGATAATGGGTGACACCGCGGCCCCCGCGCCCCGCCCGCTCGACCGCTGCGCCCCGGGCAGCCTCGCTCACCCACACGAACAGGCTGTCGGAGAGCAGGTACTGGGCCACGTCGCTGACCCCGGGCCCTCCAGCGCCCGGCCCGGCGACCGCGGTGGGGTCTGGCTGCACCGGGGCCGTTATGGGCTCCGGATCGCCGGGCCCGGGCCGGGCCTCGGCCTCGGGCTGGCTGAGGGCGCGGTAGGCGCTGATGACGGCACCGAGCAGGGCCAGGCCGCTGAGGCCGGTGTAGGTGCGGAGGCTGGGCCAGGGGAAGCGCTCGAGGAAGAGCAGCGGCATGGCGGCAGTGGCGGCCTCCGGCCCCCGGGCCTCCCCGCGCTGCGGCTGGGCCCCCGCGGCGGCCTCGTGAACGGCACCCACGAGCTCTGGCGTCGCTGCTGCCGCTGCCACCTCCTCGCCGGGCAAAGCCGGGCCGCTCCTGGCCGCTTGCGCCGCTCCCGCTGCTGCCCCTGCCGGCGCGGAAGAGCCTCGGCGGGCTCGGCGCGGGTCACCGCCTCCAGCGGGATGCGGGCGGGACGGGCGCGAGGGCGCGGCCTCCGTCCCCCGCCCCCAGCGGTCGTGCTGCCGCCTAGCCGGGAAAGGCCGCGGCCTCGGGCCCTGCGTCCCTGCACCTAGCATTAGCCTCCACCGCCCACCCAGCTACCCCGGGCCTCGGACCCAACGGACACCCGCCTGGGGCCCAGCCCACGCGCGTCACTCAGCTCCCTGGCGGTCGGGCCCAGTCGCGTGGCCCGTCCGCAGGACACGGGGACCTGGGCCACCAAACGTCCAGCCGCTTCATTCCCTCTCACCCGCGCTTAGGCAGGTCACCCCTGAGCACCCCTGTGGGCCTAACAGCTTCCCTTGTAGCTCTGATGGGAATCATTGATAGAGGACCTAATGATAGAGGACCTAACCTCGGAAACAAAGAGGATTAATGGAGTCTTAAATTTGTTGCCAATAAAAAATGGTCAAGTTTCTGCTGTTAACTGGTAGCCTTGAGCAGTCTAAAAGGAACCTGATTTAGCAGGAAATAGAAATGTTCCCTCCTACACCAGATAGGATGTAAAATAGCACCACTACTTTGGGATAGTGTCAGTTCCTAAAAAAAAAAATGTTCCGTGGAAGAGTGACCATTTAACCTGGCAGTTCCACAGCTAGGTGCATACCCAGAGATGAAAACATAATACGTCCCCAGAAAACAACCACACCGATGTGGACAGCAGCATTACTGTAATAGCCAAAGGGTTGAAACATCCTAATGTCCAAGGGATGAATCCATAAATAAGGGACGCAGCAGCATTTTATTCGACCCTGAAAAGGAGTAAAATGATGGCATGTGCTACAACCTGAACAAACCCTGAAAAGCAGCCCAGACAAACATGTTGTGTGATTCCATTTACCCGAAATGTCTGGAATAGGCAAATACATTTATAGATGCGGAAAAACATAGATTAATGGTTGTTTGGGGATTGGGGTCATGAGGGAACTGGGCAAGGGAAATACTGACTTTTTTTAAGTGATGGAAATGTTCCAAAATGGTGGTGATGTGTTGCACAACTCTGAATATACTAAAAATCACTTCATTGAACAGTTGAAATGATGAGGTATATCTCAATATGGGAATCACAGATCAATAAAGCTGTTGCAAAACAAAACAAAAAAGTGCTACCCAGCAGAAGTGTTACCTTGGGGGTCTTATTCTTTACTGTATCCTCAAGGGCTGTAACAGTGCCTGGCCCCCAGTAGGTACGAGTAAGTTACCATACTTTGCCATGTATAATGCGCACTATTTTTTTTTTTGCCCACATTTTTGACAGGAAAATAAGGATGTGCATTACACAGGAATAGTATTAAGGATGTGCGTTATACATGGCGAAATACGGTATTCTTTGAATCGTACAAACTTTCAGAAGGACTAAATTATCTTCAAGGTCTCTTTTATGCCTAATATTCTAATTCTAAACATCTGTTCATTAAAAACAACAAAAAAGATCTCTTCAGGTTATTGCCATCCACTTTAGAATTTTTTAACGTCCTAACTGAAGGGCCTGTGACAGAACGTAACAGTTCCCCTTTTGGCGAGGAGGGAGCAAATGGTTACGACACACACAGCTTTTTTATACGAGGCCTTTATGAATATTAGACTTCAGTTCTCTTTGGTTTGCTACCCTCGGCCATTTGATTAAAATGCCCAACTTTCGACCTTATTGGTAAAATAAAGCTTTATTTTGAAAATAGATAGTAATAGCCCAGGGAAGTATTTTAAGTGTTTTACTTTATCTGAGCCCAAATAATTTCTAAGCCATGTTATCGGGTAATCAGTCCAAGTCACAGCACAGTTACAAATACCACGGCAACCTGTCTGTCGCCCTCAGGGCCTGCACTTCCCTTATCGTAGTACAAGGCTCTACCATCATAAATTCCAGAGTGCTCCGCTCCTTTGGAATTATGTAATTGCCACTAAGTTTAGAAAAGCTTTAGACAACCAGTTTTCCGGAATAACTTTGTAAAGTGTGTAATAGCGACTCTTTACTCTTGGTTCTGACTACGTAAGAGCTATAGTCAAAATTAATGGTAAGCATTTAGAAGCTTGAACTTCCTGAAGACTCAATATGAGAATAGTTGAAATGAACTGTAGCTTGTTGGGGTGGGGGTTTTTTTTTTTGCATTTTTAAAGGTGTGTCTGGATAGGATATTAGTATTTGTTCTACCAACTTTCCTCTCCCACTCCATGAAGATGGCCAGCTTTTGCACGTCCTTCTCTGAAGGTTTTCTTTATTTTGTTTTGTTTTTTTCCAAGGGCATTTCCTAACCTTCTAAAGTCAACCAATGTTTCTGGTTCTTTGTACTGGATCCTACTCCATGAGATGACCTGGGGAGGAGGCAAGACACAGGAGGGGTGAACAGTATGCCTGGAAGGCTGGACCAGGGAGGCAAGGCTCTGGCCTGTAAAGGGCTGGTGGGATTAAACTATCTGTGGGGTGCACCATGGCCTGAGCTCTGCCCACCACCTTTCACTCCAGGGTACCATTCATGCCCTCTGGACTGATTCTGGTGAGACTTGGGTAGGGCCCTTGACTCCCAGTGACTGAGAGACTGATTTTCCTGCCATTTTTGTGAGATGGTAGCCAATTTGGTTTGATTTAAACAACGAAATGTGTCATTTCAAAAAAATATTTGAAATCCTTTCGTATTCATGATCCCATTTGACTTTCACCATGCTGAGACAGGCTGAGTAGTTCTGTTGTTAACATTCTCAACATCCTAGGAAGTGAACTTCATTGTCTGATAAGGTAGCTTTCAACCAGCTCCCATGGGGTTCTGGTTTGACCAGTGGGGGCAAATCCGGCAGATGGGGAAAATAAGCAACTTCTCAAGTACGTATGGATAAAACGACTCCAGCCAAGATGGAGCGTAGGTAGTCACACTGTACCTCCTCACACAACCAAATGAAGGACAACAGATTTAAAAACCAAAACAACCAGAACTGACAGAATATGGAACTGTATGGAAGTCTGACAGCCAAGGACTTAAAGAAGAAACATTCACCCAGACCGGGAGGAGGGGCAGAGTTAGGCAGCGGGCGGAGAGGACTCAAGGCACAGTGGCTGCTGGTCCCACATCCGTGTGCAGATAAACCGGGAAGAACAACTGGGGAGCTAGGCAGACCGCACAACCCAGGACCCCAGCGCCAGAAATAAAGCCTCAAACCTCTAACTGAAAACACCTGTGGGGGTTGCAGTGGCATGAGAAACTCCCAGCCTCACAGGAGAGTTTGTTGAAGAGACCCACGGGGTCCTAAAACATACACAAACCCACCCACCTGGGAATCAGCACCAGAAGGGCCCACTTTGCTTGTGAGGAGTGGAGGAAGTGACTGAAACCCAGCAGAGAGTGGAGCAAGTGCCATTGTCCCTTCTCGGACCCCCGCCCCACATACTGCATCACAACGCAGCCACATGGGTAGCCCCACCCTGGTAAACGCCTAAGGCTCTGCCCTTTACTATGTAGCAGGTGCACCGAAGCCAAAAAAAAAATGACCCAAATGAAAGAACAGATCAAAGTTCCAGAAAAAATACAACTAAGGGATGAAGTGTAGGGGACCAGTTTGTTTGGTCTGGCAAATGTGACTCAGCTCTGTATGGAAAACCTACAGAAGCAAGGTGGTGGGCAGGAGCCAGATCTTCAAACCGAGTTTTCCCGTGGGAATCAGGCCTAGAAAATGCATAGAATGTTATGGCTTGCTCTCGCTAAAACTCCCTCACCCTGGTCTAAAGCAACAGATGTGTATTGTCTATCTTCAAGGTAATTTCCAAAGCCTGAACAAGTTCTCCCAAGGACAGAGCTAATGAGCTCATCACCATTTCCCTCTGCATGTTATTTTCATTTCCTTGATTGTACCTAGAATGTAGACTGTAATATTCTATGTGATAGATAATAAATCTTTCTTTGATGTAAGACCCCAGGAAAATAATAAAAGCCTGTGTAGGCAAGGGTCAGGGTGCTCCCCTCTTGAGGGAGTAGCCGAGGCACCATAGGCACTCTCCCCATGAGAGTAGCTGTGACTGTTCCCTTTTTCCACACAGGATTGTTGTCGCCTGTGCATTCATTCTCGCTGTCAGCCACAACAGGTGGACTCTGCTGGACAGGGTCTGCTACAATGAAGAGAGAGCCAACCTATCAGATACACAGTTCAAAACACTGGTAATCAGGATGCTCACAGGTTGAGTATGGTCAAAAATTAGAGGGAAAGATGAAGGCTATGAAAAGTGAAATAAAAGAAAATGTACAGGGAACCAACAGTGATGGGAAGGAAACTGGGACTCAAAATAAATGATTTGGGGAAGTTAGAAATAAACATTCAACCAGAACAGAATGAAGAAACAAGAATTCAGAAAAATGAGGAGAGGCTTAGGAACCTCCAGGACATCTTTAAACATTCCAACGTCCAAATCATAAAGGTGCCAGAAGGAGAAGAGGAAAAGCAAGGACTTGAAAAATTATTTGAAAACATAATGAAGAACTTCCCTAATCTGACCAAGGAAATAGACTTCCAGGAAGTCCAGAGAGCTCAGAAAGTCCTAAAGAATTTGGACCCAAGGAGGAACACACCAAGGCACATCATAATTATACAAGCCAAAATTAAAGATAAGGAATCTTAAAAGCAGCAAGAGAAAAGGAGCCAGTTACCTACAAAGGAATGCTCATAAGACTGTCAGCTGATTTCTCTAAAGAAACCTTGCAGGCAAGAAGGGGCTGGAAAGAAGTATTTGAAGTCATGAAAGGCAAGGACCTACATGTGAGATTACGCTATCCAGCAAAGCTTTCATTTAGAATAGAAGGGCAGATAAAGTGCTTCCCAGATAAGGTCAAGTTAAAGGAGTTCAGCATCACCCAGCCCTTATTATATGAAATGTTAAAGGGTGTTAGCTAAGAAAAAGATAAAAAATATGAACAGTAAAAAGATAGCAAACTCAGTTATTAACCACCATACCTAAAACAACAGTAACAAAAGCAAA